GGATGAGTCGTTTACCTTCGTCATCCATTCACGTAACGCGATACCAAATTTAGTATATGTGGAGCTAGTGAAACGGCCGCAAGCATGCTATGAGCATGGTATGTTGTCGTGTTTTTACATGACACGTGTGACAGGGTTATCATGTTTGCACCAGTCCTCTATTTCGTCATCCATTGATGTCACGTAACACTAAATTTGGCATATGTGAGGCTAGCAAAACGGCTGCGAGCGCATCATGAAAGGCCCAATATACTCCAATCTAGCGTTGACGCGCGCGCGCTCGGCACAGTGTCGCTACGTTATCAAAACGCAAGCACTCTTTAGTCTGACACCAGGCGCAACCAGCGTCCGTCGGCGTGGTTCGACGACAACTCGCGTGAAATGCGACACGCTGCATTTCTCGCCGACGCCATAGAGTAACATTACTCTATGCCCATGCGTTACCAAGACAACACTGCGTCTCCCTCATTTCCTGACGGACGGACGCCGGACGCGCTGAAACCAACATGCGCAAAAGCAACGCAGCGCGGCTTGCGCCTGCAAGTATATGGCAGGACCGGTGCCTGGCGTGGTAACGCCGCCGTGAAGCGACGAAATGAACGCCGGTGAGCACGCGCACCGCGTCATGTCGAAATGTATTGGCATCTTGACAGTGGCATGTAGTCATGTTGTCACATGACATGCATCTCATGATTATTCATGTTTGCACCAGTCACCTGCGAGCGCATCAATGAGCGTAGCATGTAGTCATGTTGTTACATGACACGCATCTCATGTTTATCATGTTTACATCAGTATCATACCTTCGTCATCCATTCACGTACCGTAATACAAAATTTGGTATATGTGACGCTAGGCGAAACGGCTGCGAGCACATCATGAGCGTGGCATGTAGTCATGTTGTTACATGATACGCATTGTCATGATTTTAATGTTCGGATATGTCGCTTGTGTATGCCATGCAAAAATGTCATACCATAACAGTTTTGCAACATGCCATGTGAACGAAACCGCCGCAAGAGCTGCAGGACCATGAAATGTAAATCATGACATTCATGACATACATATCATGATTTTCATGTTATGACTAGTCAGATATGCTCATCATAGAGACATGTTATAATACACCAAGTTTGGTATCGAAACCATTATCGAAACGGCCAGGAGAGCTAAAAGTCGTAGGCGGCTAGATAGATACGCCCAAAGTCGCCGAAGTTTGCTAAGAAATGCTTCGCATTTAAAGAGTGACTCCATGGTGACGCCCTCCCCTGCTTCCCTCAACTCACCACTGCTGCACTCAATAGAACAAGGTGTGATGACGTAATAGCCGCTGTTTTTCTTTTTCCATGTTTCTTTCGGATATACAGTGATGGAAGGCAATCTTTCTTAGAAATGTCGCAGATGTGTTTGTTGAGTTCTTGACGTTATTTCAACGACGGGAGCCACTCCTCCATATATTGTATGAAGAAATGGTGAAGCTTATGAAAAGAATTCTGGGACGTTTCCTACTGATCGGTGCATACAGGGACTTCACAGGAGTGGAACTCCAATCCCTTAATGTAGAGTGCTCTGCGAATTGGAAACAGGTAGTTGAAATTGGTGCAGACACTGAAAATTCCATTAATTCTTTCACGCCTGAAGAGAAGATGATGTTTAGAATAGGTGCACGTAGCTTTTACATTCAGGTTGCGAAGTATCTGCTTTCAAGGCTGCCCTTTGGCAATCAGGTGCTTAAAGGTCTCAAGAGCATTCATCCAAGTGCTGTCAAGGAGGAGAGCGCCATTGTGGCACTCAGGAATTTGGCACAACAAGTGCCAGAAGTGGTACCACCGCAGGAAGTGTCTGCCCTGATGGACGAACTAACGCTTCCTCTTCACAGAAGAGTTTTTCTCTAATCCACACGAGCGTCACGATGACGCATGGCAACACATATTCAGCCCTATGATATCGCTTATATAACTGATAAAAATATGTTTCTTAAAACTATTAATCTTCTCTAAATGTTTGTGTGTATATATATATGTTTGTATATATGTAGTACATATGTGTGTATATATAAGGTTATTATTGTTAGTATACGTTTTACCTTATCAAATTGTTGTCATTTATGCCTACTTTATTTCACTTACTTATCTGCTGTGAGTTTTTTCCCTTGCTGTTTTACATTGCTTCCGTTATGTATATCTCCACTCCCTCTGTAATGCCCTCGGGCCCTGAGGGTACAATAAATAAATAAATAAAAGACGGTGGTCCCAAGTACCCCGAACAGTGAAATTTGTTAAAGCTATGCTGTCGCTTGCGCATGGCAATGCTGACGTTCAGAGGGGATTTAGTGAAAATCACCGTCTTCTCCATGGGCGAAGTAACTTTTCAATTGCAAGTGTAAATGGATTGCGTGCTACTAAATCATTTTGTAGCCGGTATGGCCAAGATGCCTCAGCCGTTCCTCTACAGCCTGATATGATCAAAGCGGCAAAGGGCTCATTTAAAATGTACCAGGAACGTGTGTCTGCAGAATGTGAACCCTCAGCCAAGAAAGCCAAGCTTCACCAAGACTCCGTAGGAAGCAAAGTGGATGAGCAGCGAAGTATACAGATGGATATCGATTCTGCTAAGAAGATGCTAGCCAATGCAAAACTGCTTATTGCAAAAGGGATGAAGGCTAAGAAGTTTGATGATATTGAAAGTGGACAAGCATTACTCAAGGAGGGTCAGGCAAAACTTGCTAGCAATCTTAGCAAGCTTGAAGATTCAAAGAAAAAGAAAAGCTGTGGGCGCCTATAGGACTAGTCTCAGTTATGAGGTTGGCATGTGAATTTCACTGTGATGTTTACTTCTTTTTTAGAGCTGAAGTACTCTGTTTAAAGACTCATGTGAGAGCTTTTCTGTGATAGTATTGCATTGTAATAACTGTAAAATGATACCAAATAGTGCAAAAATGGCATTCATTCTGCAAGTATTGTGTGTTCAGTAAATGTGTTCATATTTTAGTCGGTAAATTTGTTAAGTGCAATATATGATCAATAATAAATGCAATTATTTTTAAAATAAAATTTATTTGTCGTGTTCCATGCACATATCGGTACCTACCTGCTGCGGTGAGACTGCTCTAAACAGTAGTTAGCTTGCTACAAACAGGACATTTTTGTGCTCCAGGCACACTAACTCTTGCTCCAAACTTCCATTTTTCCTGCTCCGAAAGCTGCTTCGAAATTCCAAAAGCCACTTCCACCACTGGATACAGTTTCAGCAGTCGATACTTCTCGGAAGCTGTTCGCAAGTCTGCAGCCACTATGCATGCATTGAAATCTTTGTGCTTGATGACACTGCCATCCCATTTTATGTTCGAAAGGGCTTGTTGATGCGGAACGTGCGGAAGTGCGTCCCAGTTCTGTAAGGTGACGCGGTCAAGCGCTGCACACACTAGGTCGTTATGGTTCCACCCGGAGGCTTGTCATTTTACAGCGAAAGCTGTTATGAGATCACAAGGGTCGTTTTTGGCGCCGTAGCTGTCCGCCGCCACTAGTGTCTGTAACTACTACCACATGAAATAACAAGAAAAAAAAAACAAGTAAATAAAGAACAGCAAGGGCACAATGGAATTCAAACCCAGGTTCCCTGCGTACCAGTCCAGTATATTTTACCACTGAGTCACGCCGGTGCTTGAAACTCCATTGCAAACTGACCTTAGGCAGGCTTCATAATGGGAAAGAAATCGCATTTACACGAGCAATAAAGCGTTTTAGAACAGCAAAAAAACAAAAAAGGCTTCAAGCAATTCGAATTCTGTAATGAGCTTCGAATGCACCAACCCATTACAAGAGCCTCAGGCATAATTTTTTATCGTCCTCATCTACAGCATCAGAAAATTGCACAAAGTTCTTCGAGAGTCTGTAGCAGGCACCACGCTTCTCCGAAAAATGGCACAGTGAATGCCTCCCTTCAACACAAAAATTATCATGAATTATGGTGTAGTGGGTACCCTGCAAGTGTGCTTGTAGCAGTTACCGAAGGAGTATTTAAAGGGCCAATCAACAGGCTCAGACTTTTTTTTTACACCCCCTAAACGAGCTCGCGCATCTTTCCTATGCCTGACCAACCTTCTTCCATGCGCAGTGACGATCAACTCTGCGATCGGCGACGTGACATAGCACGCAGCTCGTCGCTTCGTCTAAACCAGGTCTTACAAACAGTAATGAATTAAACGTCGCCGATCGCCGAATCGACGTTGCAACGCGTGGGAGGAGGTTGGTCACGCATAGGTAAGATGCGCGAGCTCATTTAGGGGGTGTAAAAAAAAACCTGTTGACTGGCCCTTTAAAAAGGGCTCTAAAATGGCCACTCTTCAAACGTTCGCTGTGATGGTGATGCACGTTCCACGCAGGCCTGGCGTTTTTTTGGAGATCTCTCAAACCGAAACTGAAACTGGTTGGCAATGAGGAGTCTGCAGTTAATTATCTGTGGCACGCTGCAGCAAAGGATGTTTGTGTTATGATTACCCCAGCAACACATTGCAGCAAAAAAACGCGAGACCAAAATTTTTGTGTCAGTACCCCTTTAAGACACTGTTCTAAAAAACGAAAAATCAGAAATTAACAAAAAACAGTGATACAGTCTCAAATAAATGTCATACAATCAAATCATACATGTAAAATGACTGTTTGAACACAGCTGGGTATCAATGAAACAAGACTCAGAGTGATGCGTAAAACTGCATGAATGCCCCTATTTATACCTGCACAATTTTTTCAGCAGTGTGTACAACTATAGTGTGATCCTATGATCATGGCTTTTTGCATGTAAATATGCTTGCCGAGGACACAGCCAAAATCTAAGCCCTAGTGAAAATTTACTTTTCCAGGGTAGGTACTCTTAGGGTGCACTAAAATTATAAGATCATTACATTTTTTAAATCTTTCTAAGTCTGTTTGGCTTTCTAGGGTGTAGTTATTGATATAACTTTTTTGTGTGTGCTAAAAAAGTTATATCACATATACATACCAACTCACCCAGCTATCTGTTTTACTGTAGCTATTGACTTAGTAAGATTAGTTCAAGAACAGCATCATACTGTACCATATTTTTTTCCTCATCTCTACGGCGTTTTTTTTTTCTTCTTGCAACACTAGAATATCCTTGGGTGCTGTCACATGATCACAGTTGATTGTGATTAAGACCAATTCAGTACTAATTTTTCAACATTATTGGCTTCCTGTGCCTCATGCAAGTGAGCGATTGTGACTGGTCCATGCTTGATCGCAGACATTGTGTGACAACCGTATAAGTTACGAAATGCCCAGCTTTCTGCATCATGCAAACGAGCACCACTGTGTGTGTGAGATCAGGCTGATTTAGAATAAAAAAAATGTTATAAGAACATGGCAAGGGAGTGAATGGCAGGGTAACATAGCTTGACAACACATGAGCTCTAAGATTTTGGTGACCAGAACAGCAACAATGCACTGACGGCATCTGCCTAGACAACATCAAGTAAGGCTCACTTAGTGGTTGCAGATCACACATTGCGCAATGTGCTAGTGTGACTGTGATCACGTAGGTGACTCCGATTCGGTGCTGTGGTATAGTCTCCTCATCTTGCTCAGCAGAGGTACTGGCCGCTCGGCGCCTTCGTCCACCTTTGACACTTGGAAGCGGGACACACGACGAAATGGGAAGAAGCCAGCCCTCTTGCGGCCCGGCTGTTTACCTCGACCTGGTGAGGAATCTGCTTCCTACGAGTGCAAATGAAAACTGGCGTCAGAAACAACAGGTCAATCTGATGTTTTCACAACCTGATGAAATCAGGAGACAATTTAGCTCAAAGCAGCAAAGGGGACAGTGTTTGTAATTTTCAACATTGGTGCAGTAATTATGGCATTAATTATCACATTAATTATGACAGCAATTGACCATGTCCATGAGAGGCACTGGCTGACACTTTCACGATGAAATGCCCAGAAATATCTAATAAAGTGAATGGAGGGTGGACTACTGTTGTAGTTCAATTGGTGGAGCACTGGGCATGTACAAGAGGCTCTCATTAAATTTAACCTGAACGAACCAGGTAAGTGTGTCCCATTTCTATTTACTGAGAGATAAGGGTGTAAAATTCAAGTACGAAACCAGTCATATTAGAGAGGCAGTTCTATTTAAGCAGCAACTTGGTTTCAAAGATTATTGTTCGCTAAGAGTCCACTGTAAATCGAAGGTCATCAGTTGGGTTCCCTCCCACAGACAGCAAGCCGCTTTTTCATCCCCTTTAGTTGACGTCCATTTAAGCCATACTACATCACAATAAAAAAGCTACAGATAATGTGCCCTATAGTTTCTTTACCTTCATTGGGTTTTATCTAACAAGGATATTTCCGATTGCATTCAAACAGAGAGCTAATAGCAGTGCGTATAGCTCCCAACAGATATTGAGTTGTCTAAATTAAGCAACATTTAAAAGCAAAAGCACTAGCAAGCATAGTGATGACCAACACACAACAGAAAGATGTAAACTTGCAAGTTCAACCATTGACTGCAAATAAATCTGTTTTTGCAGTTGCTGTTAAATAGTTTGACAAGATTTTAATCACATGTTATATCCTGTGAAGTCAACTGCTCTTTCAGAAGTGCAATCTACATATTCACTAAACTTGGCTTTTTATTTAAACTTAGGAAGACTTCATGGGAAAATCTCCTATTGGCTAACAGCACGACACATTCTAAACATGAGAAAAGGCACACAAACATGACACGCTCCAAGGTTAAATGCCAAATAAACAAGTTTTTGGTGATAGAAAGCAACTTGGCCGCACCGTGGTCTCCGACTTGCTACGTTTGAGCTTGAAAGTGACCCTGGGCTTCGTCTGAGAAGACGAAGGCTCCGCACCGAGCAGGCTCTCCAGTTCCCAGACACTCATGCGCCCTCCGCTGGGGTGCTCCTTTTGCTCGGGTGTGGACAGTGCTCTCGACAGGTAGCGCACCATGTTCTGCGTATATGCGATGCTGATGAAAAACCCTGCATAGCTTTTGCCAAGAATTGCTTTTCCACAGCACTCGTGACTGTACCTATTATCAGACTGCGTACCATGATCAATCGTTTGATCAATCAATCAATATTTGCTATTGGTTAAGGTCACTACACTCTTAACCATGCTTGTCACCAGTGTACCATGATTGATCAATGAATGAATCAATCACTCAATCAATCAAATTAATTGGTCATTCAATCTGAACTATTAGTGTAACTTTGTCAGTACAGGCCAACTAAAAGGTGACACACTATTCATACTCTTTGGCTTCATTGGTCCATATGTGCTAAAAAATCACTGCACCGGATCTCATTGGCAGGTCTTGTCACTCAAAGAGGGATCTCAGAATTTCGCCCAAAGAATCTATATTTAATGTAAATGTCAGTGCACATTTAAAAACCCTAGATGGTCAAAATTATTCAGAGCCCTCCGCTACGTTGTCTCTCATAGCCAAAATTACAGTCCCTTCGGGAGGCTGAACCTTAACAACTAAGCTTGTGCGAATATTAGCACGCTATGAATGTTTGCACGAATGTTGCTGTGACTGAAATCGCTTTGGTTAAAAATTAAATTGCAGAAAATTTCGAATTAACAAATATCTAGACATACGTACATTAATCCGATGTCCTGCAAAGGTGCTTTCACTGCAGTAGAGGGGCACTAAGCCGTGAAAGCACATATCTAATGGCGAATTCCATTGAGAGAACAGGAGTAAGGGTGCCGAGCAGAGAGGAGTAGGGGGCAGAGCACTGAGAGCCGCGTCACTCGACCTGCCACTGGAATGCGGCACACCTCCGCAGAGCAGGTGTGAGGGAATAAAAAGGCGAGTGAGGAGAAAGGTTGTGCATCCCAGCGTCCTCTGCTGCAAAACACGTGCGGTCTGATCCGGACGGGCAAGGAAAGCACGTGTGGCAGTGGTTGGTACAGCGCACTCGCTTGCGCGCTATCCTGCAAAGCTGCTGCTTCGTATACTACTACATGATGGACTCGGAAGCTCAGCGCATCCTACTGTCTTTAATTCAACACCAGGCACCATCTAGTACGGAAGGTAAAGTGAATTTGATTGCTTTTTATTTGTTTCAGCGCACTTGTCGCGCATGCAGCATGCAATGCATTCTTGCGCGCGTGGACCTAAGCCCACTATTCTTTATCATATCAGAAAAACACCGTGGATATGACAGCTTTATCAGACTGTTCATGCAGTTACCAGCTGCTGCTGTCATCAGCAGTTAACAAAACGTAAACAATTCTAGAAGTACTGCAGTACACTATCCTGTTGCCAAGTTTCCTTGCATGAGTAATTAATCCTTAATTCAAAACAAACTTACATTGCAGACCCCTCCATCAGCAACAGAATGATTCGCAGCGTTTTAAGAAAAGTAACTGCGAAGTGGCGTGTAGCAAGTGTCACGTGGGTGCAGCTAAGTATTGCACGCAGTAACAATTTATTTTTATTTCTGATTTTTAAGTGGCTAATGTCTCCAGACGGCAGATCAGCATCCCACGTGATACGGTGAAGCCATACATCTCCTCGGAAGCACGATTTCTTATCGCAGGGTCGAGATGCTACGTATGATAAGCGATATTTTTTTTTAATTATCAGTGATTTGTGCAGTGTTTCATGCAGCCCTGTAACATGATGAATTGACTTTTTTAGAATTTGTTTTTTGCTTGCTCTAATCCGCTTACCTTCGAGTGTAAGGCATCCGAGTTTGCATAATGTAGCTGACTACTTGAGAAACCATTTTCATTATATAACTGATTTGATTACATTTCCATCATTGTGTGAAAACAGATGCAGTTCTGCGTACAAATATGGCTGGCGATGTGCCAAGGCGAGGGAGCGAAGAAATGCGCATGGAGCTCAGATTGCCATGCGTTGAAACAGGAGGTGGTAAGTATTAGTATTAACATTATTGCGAGGCACTACATTTACTGCTCATTTATATTTTTTAGATGGCACAGATACTCTGCACCTGCCAGCTCCCACTGCATCAAGATCAGCTGACGGGGAGACTGGTGCTCAAAGCAAGCCATCAGGCTCCAGGAGAGGAGGTGGAGGCAAGTATATTAACACTGAGTGTCTACAATTGCCTCAGCAAGTGTTCTTGGGTAAATCTAACAAGCATGCATCAGAGCGTGTAAAAGTGTACTTGTAGGAGTGATCCTTAAATGACAAAAAAAAAAAGAGAGCATGGAAAGCAGACCACTACAATTACTGGAAGACTGGCACAATTTGCATATTGCATTTACATGCACAATACCAGAACTTATCACTTATGTATGTTTGCTAGTCTGCGCAAATGCTTGTTTTGTTGATTAATGCTTGCTGATTGATAATTAAGCTCAAGTGACCGTGCTGTGTGTTAAATTATTCAATTATAAGTAATGCCTGCACAATGACCGACAGTTTCCCAATAAACCATTTATGTGTTGGTTCTTTCTTATTCTAGCTGCTGAATGGACAGAGGGGCAAACAAGGCTGCTCCTAGAGTACTACCTCAAATATTTCCCTCAGATTGGCCCATTTAAAAAATTCAAAAACAGGAAGCAAGCCTTTAAACAAATATCGATGGACATCGAGGCTGTGCTTGGCATAGCCAAAACCCCAGAACAGTGTGAAAATAGGTACAAAACAGTAATTAGGCGTCGGAAGGCGTCTTCCGACCATAACAAAAGGTCTGGTGCTTCACCCACCCCTGTGCCTTTTGACGACGAGGTGAAAAAAATTGAAAGCATTGATGACAGCATTGAACCGGAGGTAGAGCGAGACGCCTCAGGGGCTACATTCAAAGCCTCGCCCGAATCTCCGGCCGTGTTGTCACCTGCCAACACCACTGAGGAAAATAAGACGCAGTCCTCAAATCCCGACACGAAGCCACGGGTAGGAACTGCACGCCTGGCACACATGCAGTTGTTTTTTACTGAAATGAGGGCACTGCAAGAAGAAAAGGAGGCTCAAAAGGCGGCCAGACGTCAAGAAAAAGAAAATCGAAGAGCTGAAAGGCAGGCCGAGCGACAGGTGCTTCGTGAAGAGCGGCGCAAAATGCATGAAGAAAAAATGGAGATTCTCCGTCAGGCCTTTGGACTTCCAAAATAAAGTGGTAGTTTTAAATAAATAAACGTACTACCCAAAGCGATTACTTAGTTTCAATGTCTTTTATTTTCTAGTTTGGCACAATACACTACCTTGAGAAAATGCAAATGGGCCAACAGGTGTGTGGTAAGGACAATTTTTCCCAACCTTGAAGGTGTTTTAACGAGTTCAGCTTTTCAGGTGGGCCTTTGGTAAGCATATATTTGCTCACAACTGCATAACACGTAAAGGAATTCCTTGTTTCATGGCTGCTGGTTCTGCAACCCCATTTTTATCATCAAGTGATCTCTCTTGATGCTAGCCAAGCCACGTAATAGGCTATCCTGTTGGGCTACACTACTGCTGCTTACTTGAACTGCAGAAGAGCTTGAGTCTACATTTGTTGTTTGTGAGGTAAGTGACAGGTCTCGTGACAGGTTCTCTGGCAAATCTCCACAATCAATGCAGAGGTTGTGAAGCACACAGCATGAAATGATAAACTTGGACATGTTATCCACTGTCCACATATCCAACCTGTGCAGTTGTCTGAAACGATTTTTTAAATCGCCAAAAGTATTTTCAATAAGCACCCTTGTCCCGGAGAGTCTTGCATTGAAGGTTTTTTTGATGCTGTCAAGATTCCCATAGTCTCGAATTGGTGTCATCAGGTACTCCCGGAAAGGATATGCAGCATCCCCCACTATATGGTACTTGCTAGAGCACAGTTGTGGCAAAACACTTGAAATCCTGGACCGACGGAAAATGCGTGCGTCATGAATTTTGCTTGGGTAGCCAGTGCTGGCATCAAGAAACCTCTTCTTGTTGTCACAAACACCTTGAAGTGTCAAGGATAGGTAATGGTGCCGGTTTATATAAACAGATCGCACTTTCCTGGCTGGGCACCTGATAGGCATGTAGCTTCCGTCAACACACCCAATTGTGTCTGGGAATCCCGACAGCTGCAAGAGAAAAAAATGTGCACACACATAGTCAAATAAGCATGGCACTAAGGGTAATGAAAGGTGCCAATAACATGCGGAAAAGTTTAAAACAAACTGGAGACTTGAAGCTCATAACGGCGAGTGCAATACACTACCGGTACACATGATTGAAATTAACTGGCTACTTAATTGTGAAGCATCTGGGAAAAATAATTGTAATAACTTATTTAAAAGGTGCATTCTGGCACTAACTAATTCATAATTGTAATAGTAGAGCGGTAAAGAACACATGGGACCGCACGAAGGGGAATTAATGACACATACAGAGTACATACAGAGTGCACAAGTAACTGAACTCTAGGTTTATTCACTGTACATGCAGGACAAGTACTAGATGTACATCACTAAGCAGAAGATGGGAAAATAGAAGAGATATGAAACAGCATCACATGGTCAAAACTACTCAAGAAAAATGTCCGATTGCTGACAGCATTTGTAATACACATGAAGGAGGCTTGACTGTGTGGTGCTCTTTCATATCTCTTGCATTTTTACATTTTCTGTTCATTTGCAGTTCTGATCCTGCATATCAGTTGCTTTCAGTCCTTATTGTGGTTTGAGTAGGTGTAATTCCTCTTAGTCTGGTCCCTTGAGTTGTGTAGAGCTGTATGACATTGGTGTGAAAAAAACTGTAGTTTATACCTTAAATAGCATGTTTACAAAAGCATAGTTACCTTCTCAAAATCCACAGCAAGCTTCTGCAGGTCACTGGGGAACTTGATTACATTCGGTGCTATGTCGAGCAGGAATGCAGTTACTCGGCCCATCATTCTGTGGTGAGTGCTTTCTGCGACTTCAAAGCGGCCAGCGACATCTCTAATGCATGCTTTGTTGGCTGCATACCTGAAAAGGAGAGGATACTCTAATTAAATAATGGAATTAAGCTTGCTGTTGCTGTCAATGACTGAATAATGGTGTTAACAATGCTGTCGCTGTCAATGAAGCAAATTAGCAAGACAACTGAAGTCAGAAAACACGATTCCACCTTTTTGGGTGACACCTTAGAAACTCAAAATATTTGATTAGTAGAAGCACTATCTAAATAACAAATTCTAATTTTAATTCGCGCATTACATTTATAAGTGTGGAGATGAAGCTCACTGTGAACCTGCTGACACAGCCGATTTGAAATGCTTCGTGAGCAAAAGTTTTCATGGTTGTTTGTAATGATGCATCATGAATTATGCTTTGCCACTGATTCTAGTAACGAGAATTTTGTGAAGCTCAGTGTGTAGGTGTACAAACTACGAAAGCATTTCACAAAATACTATAACTCTATTACGTTCGACACTCGCTAGTAGCATTTAACAAGTTTAAAGCAAGGTGGTCCAATGACATGCTGCGAATTAGGTACATTTATTTGCAATATTTCATATGCCTCTAACCCACTATAAAACGGATTATGCAGTGACCTGATGACAGCGGCATTCCTAAACGTACGGACACTCACCAAAGAAAGGAGAGAATGTGTTCTTCAGCCGACTTGGCAGGCAGGCCACCATGATCACTGTTCTGAGGGCAGTGCGGTGACTTGGCGAATTCTGCTGCCAAGAAGTCCACGACCGGCCGCGTGACGCGGAAATTTCTTTTGAACTGGAAGAAAACAGGCCTTTAAGCAACCTAATTAAAACAGAAGCCGAATGACTCACCTCCTCGTCGGAGTAGCTAGCCACCGTCTTTGTAACATATGCTTCCACTTTCGGCCTTCGCTCTGGCAGAGAAAAGAGCTGCTGAAACGCTGCTGCATACACTTCGTCGTCATCGTCGCTGCTGCTTGAACTCGACTCGGACGTAGAGCTCCAGCAGCTATCGCTGCTGACATCGTCTAGCTCGTCAAATACTTCGGCAAGACGACGACGTTTTGCTGCCTCCGCCATCCGTGAATCTGAAGGCAGGCAAGGTGGACGTTCACTGCCAGAATCTGCCGCTACGACGTTAAAATCGTTCGAGCCCGAGCACCACGCACGCTTCGCTGCCGCCATAACCGCCCGACACGACGCCGCAAAATGTAAACAAGTGAGGAGGATTGCTGAGAGGGTATGTCCGGACATGACGTTCCAAACACGTGGTTTCCTGCGTTTTCCACTCACTCCGCTTTTTAAGAGGGAGCAGACAGAACTGCTCCTGGCTGCTCTCGGCGCAGCAAAAGCGCTCTCGCTCTACCAATGGATGACAGTGCTCCTACTCCTGTTCGACCACTGAAACACGCCGCCTCGGAAGAGAGCACTTTGAGCGTGCTTTTGAGTGCACCTGCTCTCCCAATGGAATTCGCCATAAATGTAATGCATTGTAAAGATGATTTTGTTCCAATAAAGAAGCGCTAAGCCATAGAACACCTGCCTAAAATAAGTTCCCACTGCAGCGAAACTTTACTTGAAGGTTAAATGAATCTATTACCCTGGAATCGATTCACAATTTCTTTTCTTTTTAAGTTGAAAATTTTGTTATACCAGCTTATACGCCCAAATTATCATGAATTTTGAAGCTTAGCCCATTATATGGGTTATAACTAGCATTTCACTGAAAGTCAAAACCTGCTACTATTCAAAGTTGCTTCTACTTCATTTGAGCCAAAAAGAATGGCATTTGCACAGGCCTTGTTTAATTTTCAAAAAGTACTGTACAGGTTTGTTAGGTCATGACTAGTATGCCCATTTTTCTTCATAATATGTAATATATGCTATTCGAATTCAATTCGAAATTACTTGACCAGAATCATTCTTTGCTTTGAAGTCGCTTAAAACCTGAATTTCAAGATTCACACAAGCCTATTAAAAACCAATCAACCAAGTACATTTTATCAGGTAAGGTTCTTCGTTAGCAGCATGAATGTACTCTCCTGCAGAGTTTTTCATGTCTTTTATTGATACATCTGCACACGTTTTACCAGCTGGAAATCCGATACAAATAGCTGGAACTGCATAACTTTTTCACTTCAAGGCTGGCATAAGAGTCGTCCATGCTCATTTGCATGAACAACTCTTAGACCAGCGCCCCGCCGCGGTGGTCTAGTGGCTAAGGTACTCGGCTGCTGACCCACAGGGCGCGGGTTCGAATCCCGGCTGCGGCGGCTGCATTTCCGATGGAGGCGGAAATGTTGTAGGCCCGTGTGCTCAGATTTGGGTGCACGTTAAAGAACCCCAGGTGGTCAAAATTTCCGGAGCCCTCCACTACGGCGTCTCTCATAATCATATCGTGGTTTTGGGACGTTAAACCCCACAAATCAATCAATCAATCAACTCTTAGACCAGGCTCGCTCAATCGATTTTACGGTAGCTCTTCAGCAGAGCGACGTGGAAAGAGAAACTAACCGTTTCAGAGCATGGAGTGGAAAAGGGAAAAGATCACCGATGAGGGCTGTTGATTCTAAATCTAGCACACTCAGTGAGCAGCCATGTCTAGAACCATCCCACGGTTCCGCCTTACCAGTGGTGGGGGATGATTGGCCATTTGCTGCACAACTGTCTGGTACACGTCATCGTCCTCAGCCTCCTGTCGCCACAAAGGAACAAGCATATTTTAATGGCACTTGTACTAGAAATAGGCAAGTGTTTTGTAATCTTATAAAAAGCCTCTGAAACGCCACACAGACCATAAGATGAGTGGTTTGTGAGAGGGAGCATCAACACTGAGCAGGCACATCAAGTACAATGATGTGCCTTTCATAACCAAGAGAAAAGCAAAGGCAAGTAAAAACAAGTCGAGAAATGCAATAGTTGATAATGACGTCCGTGGTGTCTTCCTTTTTCTCTTGTGTCTGTGTTTGCACACCCTGTCTTTTATCATAAATGCGTCTTTTTTGATACCACGAAATAATGCAGATATCTTTTCAAATACATCAAGACAATGCGCTGACAATGGTCCGGGCGATTTGTCATTGGCAGTTTTATCCATCAGTGGAAAATAAAACAAACGTGGCTGGTCCCCCTATATAGGAGCCTGTATAACACGAAAGTGAAACGTGTCTTTACAGAGTTAATCGAGCATTTCTTAAGCGTTGCTTCAGAAACAGCAACAAATTGCAAAGCTACGTTAGGAACGGCAATCAGCTTGAAACTTGCAGCGCACACCTCAAGCAGAAAGCACGCACGAATTAGCACGCATAAGATGAACGCAGACTAACAGCTGTCACAATTCTTCCTGCGTCGTGTGCCAGCAGCACGCCCCTTTCATAAACGCAACCGTGGCCGCATGCGAAATTACCTTCGTCCTCTCCCAAATTACGAGTCTGATAAGTGCGCGCGCAGGAAAGAACTTGCTCCATGGGACTATAGGGGTGGTACTTCATGGAGGCAGCTACCTTGAGAGCATGTCGAATGCGAGAATGTCACGCCATCTCGCCACCAATTTTCATTTACTTTGTTATTACCAATATTTAATTATATTCTGGTTCATTATATCCAGATTTAAGTGTAGTTATTTTGGTAAACTAGAAGCAATGCAGAAATCTAAAAAAATACGTGGGCAACAAACCTCTATCATACTCTGCAGGTCTTGTAGATTTCTGCTGGCCGCGGCGGGGTCTCCATTCTTTGGATCCAGTTTCTGCAAAGCGCACAGAGCAAGCTGACTTGAATGATGAGCTACAAAGCACAAATGACACATGAACGAGAATGAACAAGCATGTTAGGTTGTCATATGCATGGGCACAGCCAGAAATATTTTCGAAAAGGGGGGTTCACCATACTTTTGTTTATCTTCCTGTGTGCATTTGTATGTGTGCATGTATACACTTAAACATTGATATAACCCGGATATAACAAAATATTGGTTGTATAGAAGGAAATAAATTATAGCCTTCTAATAAATGTAGTGTTAGGAATATACCTTTACAACGAACCTTCAGTTATAACAAAGTTAATTTTGTGTAAGATGCAAACTCAATACAATGAGGTTTGAGTATATACACAAGCAAAATTGAAAAACTTCGGGAGCGAAGGGGGGTTTAAATTGGCGATGCCACTGGTCATGTGTGTCTATCACTCCAATAATTCAGAGCTTAATGAAAGTCAGAACTGTATCACATGTCATGCAGAAAAAAAAGGTAACATGTATGTCTCAGCACATGGATCGCTTATGAAGCAAGCGTTTTATTTACGCATTGTATTGAAAAATTTGCCTTAGCAAGCTTCAGAGCAAAGCACCTATAATCATGCAGTGAAGCGTATTTAAAAAAAAACTTTATGGTGGCTTGAGCTTTACCTTCAAGAGTGGAATGTAACAGTGTAATCGAGCCCCATGTTAAATTGTTAACCTGGATTCACCACCTGATTGCTAACCCAACATTCAATTTATAACCTGGCTTCGGTTTTCCGTGGATGCCTCAGCCATGCCTCAAGTAAACAAACGTCTGTGCGCGTAATATTGGCCATTTGAAACTATCCTAGAATGCGTACTGCAAGTACAGTTGCGAAGTGCCCACTACACGATAATTCTTCCTTTTGCAAATCAGCGATGGGTCCACTATGTGTTTGTAAAGCAACACGCAAACCTACGAAGCTGCTCACTTTGTTGATGATTTTGCTGATGATGATTATAATTAAATACGGCTGAGCTCTTAGTAAAGAGTGGGCCTTTCGAACACCTGTTCATCACGTAGCTGACACATGATGCGGTGCATGATTCTACGCTTCTGTCACGCAATATTACATGTCTTAAGAAGACTCCCCCCGCACTACACGACATTCATGTAGTGTGTTTTCGGAGGCAACTTCAAGCCATGGCATGGTTCTGTAGTAGAACATCAGCCTGCCATGCAGAAGACCTGGTTTCGATTTTCGTTCAAACCGAACATTTTTATTATTTATTTTATTTGTAGCTTGCTAGATTTTTCACTCACAGCCAACAACACCGATACCGACACAAGAACTTATGCGAAACAATGTTGTTGTGATAAATGAGTAAAGGAACAATAAACATACAGATAAGCCAAGTAGCACGCGTTTAGGGCTAGTTGATGCATTCTTTAAAAAAAAGAGAAAGGATTGCACAATAAAACACAACACACAATAGACAGAGATGTTGACACCAGCACAATGGGATATTGCGCAGGTATCTTGGTCTCTCTCTATTGTGTGCTGTGCTTTTCGCACAGTCCTTCCTTTTTGATGAAAGCTAAACTTACTACCAGAAGCCCACTTATGTTATATCAAATTAACAATACAGCTTGTAATCTCAGAATTCACCTTCCACTCTTCAAGAAGTTTCTTGCCCATGCTGCTCGCTGCTGCACCTCCCAGGGTCTTGTTGTAGTCTCTGGCGACCTGTAAAAAATATAAGAACCACATTTACATGTGACTTCCATGGCACACCTAGTATTATTAAATAAATCAACAAATAAAATGTTGAGCTTTTTTGTACAGCACTGAACTTCTTGCTGCTAAAAAACTGACTTATTATCATAGTAACTAATTCCTTTCAAATATACACTGAAATACTATACTTGTTAAAATTTTTGAGCTAGAGCGTTTCCACCTCCATGACCTTGGTAATGCTAACACTAGTTACCCGTGGTGATTGACAACACACAAATCGCAAAAGACGCACTGAATAGAGGCTTTTGGTTAAAGATGAATACAAGATGATGTCTATGAATCATGGCAAATGTCCTTAACTGTAGAAGATTAATAGCGCATTCTAATGAAATCATTTTGAGATGAAGAAAGTAAGTTGCGCAGCAATGATACACTTGGCTTACCTTAATATCATGCTTCCAAAACCGTCTTGTGCCTTGCAGGCTTTTAGCCGGGGCAATCTCCTTGATCTGTGACAAACAAGAAATTCTACAAAGTTCGATGTTGCTGCGATTGAACAAGCTGGATAAAGCATGAGGCATTTGTTCATTTTAGTTTGATTATCTATAAAGAAATGGATGGAGAATATTGTGCAATACAGCCTTTTCAGGCGGATTACTTGAGGATGCAAACATTACTGTATTACGTATTGTTGTGTGCAAACATGTATTATTGGTGTGTTTTATTGTATTTCTTTGACCATGCTCTGAGTGGTGCTTTCGGGTGCTGGGGTCCCATCAGGCAAAGGACATCTGCCTTTTGCCCTAGTATCTTAGGCATACACTTGTCTGAAATGAAGAGCTGGTTGATTGATTGATTACTATAGTAGCAAATCATAGTGTCATGTGAGTTGATTAACAAACTTTTACTAAACCTCTTTTAATTGATCACTTTTGCAGGCACACTGTAATTGTAAAATTGTTCCTCATATTATCTTTTAGCTGCCAACATTTGTAAAATTGTCATTGCCAAGGTATCTGTGCCAACAGATATATTTTACAACGCTCGGGAAACTAGATAACATGGCATTAGACATAAAAACTAGATGCACTACAATCAATATCGAAAAATAAAGCAAATGAAACAATATTGTAAGAGCTATGTAAGATAGTGTACTACTACTTGAGGATGGCACTAAAGACCTGGCACCGAAGAAAAGAGTGAATGCAGCAGTTTACATATGTAGCTGAAAGGAAACTGAAATTACAACCACTTTTCATCTTATATGCAAGCCTGCAATAACATATTCGATAATGTGCAAGATAGTCAAAATGACATCTATGACACCATCAGATGACGTGAGATTGCTGATTACAATAGCTTGCTAGAACCAAGATTAAAAAAAAAAAAAAGAAAACCTGTGTCCAGTGATAGATGAAACAATGAAGCACGTGCCTAAAGTGCTGTATACAATATACTCCCATAACTTTTCTCATTGTGTACTGTGATGCAAAATAACAGAATTAAGAGCACAATAGGAAAGAGCATCAGACTGCAGAGATGAAATCGCCAAAAAGGCTCTTTCCTTTTTTGTTCTTACTTAATGTTGTTTTGTATGCTTTTTTATACCCACTAAATTTGATACCAATACAAGGTTAATAACAAGTAGCGCTAAACTGATTCATGCAACTCGTCAACAACCAGGAATGAGTTAGGGTTTATCTATGTGCATCACCAGCTTGTCCAGTTTGCTATGGTCAAGATTTTTTACCTTGAGGACAAGGGTGCCTGCAAGAATGATGCAGAGGATGTTGACCACTGTGAGGCAGAAGGAGATGACTCCAAGCAGCGCACACTCTTTGTGCATGCTGTACTTGTCAAAGTAGTAAGGACTGTAGCCCACTGGTGCTATGAAGGCGGGGGGCACTGTCAGGGTAGTTCCCGTGACATTGACCTAAACATCCAATACAGTGAAAAGCAGCTATTCAAATCAACAGAAAGCTTTGGCCTGATATAGGTATGAAACACATGTCACAAAGGAAGAAACACTGTTGGCAACGCCCTGTTCTGTTTTATCACAATGCACAATAAACAATATGCATCACAACATTCTTCACTACTGGTATGTCTACGCCAGCGGGTGAAAGGGCACAGAATGAAACTGCGATCATAGTCGTGTGTACATTGGCAGCACATAGTGTCACAAGATGTCAATGCTGTGAAATTGCAGTTTTATCACTATAATAATTACGCATGTGTGAAGCAAACCAAAGCTACACTACGGAGGTAGATGATGAGCTTCACTAGTGAAGGCAAAGGGTGTCTTAACAGCGCCACATTGTTCCACTCGGAATCAGATCTAATACTCCTGATCATCCACCAAGCCACAGTGCTTGACACAACGGTCAGGGAACGTGCTACACTCTCATATCAAGTAACATATGTTTGGGTGGCTGACTGCTTGGCACATTGGGAAGATAAGATGAAGTGAAGGTGGAGGTGTATTCAATTTGGAGGTACTGCAGTGGAATGATAAAACTCACCTCAATGGGATCTTGTGTCAGTGACTTGAACACCTTCACTAAAGATAACGACCACAGGATTCCCTAAAGGAAAGCACAAGAGCCATTAGTAGAAGAAAACAATCCTGACCGAAGAAAACACAAATTCAGATTTTCTGCAAGATGATGTTCACCATGGCTTACCTAAAGCTGCCGTTTAAAAAAAATTCCAACATGCAACTCCATTCATAGCACTAAAGTCATCACGTCACACGCAGACGCAAGTGATGTGTTGACTTCTTTTGTATCTCTGCCCAACTACTGTACGTTTGTTTGTCTTCAGCACAAAGCTTGTGTATATCGTGAATTTCCTATCAGTAAACCAGTGGTTGTTATTACAGCACTTATCTACTTTTCTATGAAAGTCATGCGCATGGCGGTCTTTGATCCAATCTTAGTGTTCAGTAACACTCAGAACGCGATGACACTCACAGTGATGATGATTATATATTCACTAAAGGAGGATGATTATTGTGATCACAGTATAATTCTTCTCTATATTACGATTGGGCAGAACAAATACTGACGCTGTTGATGATTGGTGGCAGGAGAGAGGCAGATATGGCTACTCCCACCAGGCATGCAGAATTTCCACCCAGAATCGCCATGGCAACGCCACCACCTGACGGCAGGGCCACCAGGGATCCTACCCAAAGACTTCTCCAATGACCCCTACGAGATAAAATAGTAAATATACAGTAGTACAGTGTAACTTGTGTTTATCAATTCCGGTGATCTTGAAATATGGTCAGTACAGAGCAGTCATAACACCATCTTCAAAACCTTATTCGAAAGCATGTCACTGTGTTATGTATTTATAAAAAATGTTCACCGCCACCTTTGACTTTTCGTACCGTGCACCACACCTATGCAAGTGTGCTTCTTGTAACAGTACCACAGTCGCTACTCGAGTAATTGCAAATATTTGCGTAGATGAAACTGCACTGCTTTAAAACATGTGAAAAAAAAAAAAACCATAAACGTTGAAAGCAAGTGCATGAAACAAAGGTAAAATGAAGATTCGTTTCATCTACTCATGCAAAAAAATGTAATAAACGTTTCATTCTCTCTATATAAATGGCTTGTGTACTAATTGGTCTCATTATTAGGTGTTCATAATGAGAAACTGGGTTTTACACATAAGTTTAAGTGCAGTACAGCAGCATAATTTGGTGAAGCATCTATAAACTGAAGCAACTGTCATACAGTGAGGCATACTTTCTGGGGTCTATATCTCTCATAGTCAACTCTCATTAATTCAAGCTCAATGGGACCTCTTAATTTTGTTTGTATCATCAAGAAGTTTGAATTATCATAGGTTCTCAGATATATGACTCAGGACAAAGTGACACATTAATTTTATCACATTCTAAATTTTTTAAATCATTTTTAAACCCTAACTGCACCCAATGAACAGAAAGCAGAGGTGTAAGGTCCCCAAGTTTATTTGGCATTTACTGCTGATCAGACCTTTTAAATAAAACCTGAATTTCCAACTGCCTCTTTGGTATATATGCCTTCAGCACAAAGCTCTCTATACTATTTGAGAAGCATCACTGTTTACCGTGCGTGTGCTGCATTAAAGATTTTTTTACTCGCAAAACCTTTTTTCGTGAAGACCTGAGACGCTTATTTTTTTTTCTAAATTGTTAAATTATATAAGCATGCAAATTTTCAAATAGTAGTGTAAAAGCAGCAGATATTTTCCAGTATGCAACTGCAAAAGGTATGAATTGACCGAATGATGGTGTTTAATTAAAGAGGCTTTAAATACATAGAAAGAATAAAGGGCAAACCAAAAATTGAATTTTGTTTGAGTTAACCAAAAGTATGAATCATCAAAGTTTGGATGGAATAATTACGAGTCTACTGTATAAACCTACTGTAAGATTTCCTTCAAGTTCAATACTTTCGAGTTCAATGTTCGAATAGCTATGAACGAGAAAAAAATGTATACTATAAATGTAAACAGTGACATAATTTGCTTGACTGCTAGGGTGTCTAGCATGTTAGAACAGCTTTTAAATATTGAAACCAATTTGTCAAGGTTATGAAAGTCATTTGCTATGTCTTGTTTGCATGCTTTATGTCCCACCAGTTATTGGCTCTCATCATTATAAAATACAGATTCGAATTAAAAAAAAATGATGTTCTCGTATTGCAGAAAAAATGCAGCACAACAGTACAACTTCCTGACATGTGTTTACTACTCTATCTTTCTCAAAATGCCAGTGAATGATGGTTATGTGCAATGGCAGACTTCAATTTTACAACTGTAACATGCCTCCCCAAGTTAAAAACATTGAAGTGAAGTAACTTGGAGGAAGCTTGTTAATCTAGGATGATATCTGGGATTACTATCATTTTTCATGCGAACAACAACTGTGCATCTTGGTCAAGATGAATTACCTTTTTGTCTTAGATAACAAAATTTTGATACCAACAACAGACAATCATAGCTGAAGCCTATAATATGCATTTCTTATAACAAACGCTGATGAAGGGTTCCTCAGTACCAGCCATCTGGTCTGCCCATAGGTCGTGGGCATTTTGATATTGCTATGAACCCTCGCTTGTACTACCGTCGGTTTAATGAATATTTTATAAAAACATATATTTAGAAAATTCCTGGTGGTTTCACTATGCATACAATGCAAAAAAGATAACTTCCAACTAAGCAAATTCTCTAAATAGTTAATATTTCTGCTGAAGAAACTAGATTCACGAATCCCAGCTCATCTTTAAAATCGAATGAACGAAGTTTTTGCTCTGCAGCAATGCAGCTGAATGTAGACAGTAGCACTTCGTTTGAACACCATGTGCAGTGTGACAGTGAGCTTGTTACCTGTGTAGAACTATCATATTTGGAACTTGTTTTCAGTGTTCGTCTGGAGCCGAAAGAAGAAAAGTGGGACGAAGAAGTTTTAATCATTGAAGGAAGTTCAAATCCTGTATCTCTAGCCAATAACTGAAATAAACAAAACTTGAAACTTGAAGGCTGCAGCATATATATTGTTACACAAGGTAAGATAACTTAATGGGGGTTTTTAATGGGCCCTGAGTCCGCGATCACAGTATAATGATGATGATCTCCACCGCCATGGCTCGTACCCACTCAGGGGGATCACAGTGGAGGCAACGTTGTCTTCCTTCTCTACCCGCGCTTCCCTTGTTTTTCTTGGTAGTGATACTTCGTATCAATATGAAAGTTGCGAGACCGCGTCACAAAGACAGTGTCACAGAGATAGCGTCACAGAGACCATGTGTCCCGAGGTTATTTAATGAGCAAGCTCTTGTATATGTTTGTAAAGATAAACCGATAATGTAAACGTCATCGAGAACAAACGCGACCATTTGTGAACATGCACACACAGAACTAAATATACTTACATGATGAAAAGATAATAAATACAGCAACCTAAGCTCACACAATATATGCTACATGAGCAACTTATAGCTACTTGGCAACATGGGACAAATGCGTAAAAGTTAAACAAAGTGACACCGTTTGTGATGAGAGGCGCGACCAATGTCGGTGAAGCAGCTCGCACAGGCGTCCGAGGCAGATGAGGTGGTGGCAATGCTTAACCATTGGCAATATTGCAATGGTGCAGCTGGACGCACTTGACGACTTAGGGTCAACGGCCAGATGTCCTGTCTGCTTTCGCCAGCCGAAGATGGCAGTTGACAGAGGAGGCGCTGGTCATACCTGGCCAACGCCAGACGATGAGGAACGTGAGTTCAGTCAATGCCAGAGGCTCGGAAGAAGGTTCAGGTGGGAGCCCGCATCGGGCATAGCACGGATACTTTGCTGGCCGCCATTCCCGCGCCCTGGACACCCTACACTCCACCACGTCTCAGCCACGTCGCTCTCTTGTTCTGCAACTTTGCCGTTCGGTTTGGTCTCCCTGTGGGAGTTGTTCGTTGGCCTAGTGAGCGTTCCATGTGCCAACGTGCCGAATTTTCACGTGGTCGCCTTTGGTAATTTTTGCCAACAGAGCTGGCATCTGTAGTTGCTGCTGTTGTCCTCCTCATCTTCCAATGTGCTTCATCATCAGGTTCGGGCAATTTTTCAAAATGCGCACTTCACTCATTACATTATGTCACAGTTACAAGCTGTGCAAGAGGCCACGCATAAAAACTTAGACTCTCTGGACAGCTTTGCCTCTTCTTGCACTTTAATAGTACCAGTTCAAATGAACATTACAGGACTTACTTTCGAAATAATTGCATTTCACACTTTCGACTATAATATGATGTGCCCAATGCTGTTCTGTATTCTGGTGAATATTCAATTTGGTCAACTAGTTCATTGTTTCGAAGTTCACTTAAGTGAGAGTTCACTGTATTAAGGTTAAATCAGCTCAAACAACACAGACAAGAAAGACACACAATGAGTGCTTACTCACAACTAAAAACTTTATAAAAACAATCATAACAAGAGGGCAAACTCAAACAAACTGCACAGTTGTTGCCACACAGAAAACCTCCCAACTTGCAAAAAGGCAAGAGAAACAAAATTGTTGACTAAACAAACTTCACAATCTTAATCTTTGTCTGTGCTGTTTCGGTTGCTTTAGCCATATTACCATACCAACTAGCCCAGTAGCCGGCCTTGGTCTTAGGCTGTCTGCTGATCACACAGTGTCACGAAATACACAGGTTGTCATACCTAGAACTCATCTCGGGGTTCGGCCACCGTGACGGACTCCAGCTGGTGCCTTCGTAAGGCGGTATGTCACCCCAGAAGGCATTCAGAAGGCCAAAGAAGAAGCCTGCATGCATTAAGTGCAGTGTTTTTTTCTCCTCAAGTAAAATGATATATACTTGCTACTTGAAAGACGTGGCACCAGGTCAGAAACAAGAAGAAACAAGAGACAGAAAAAACGCCAAGCTTTGTTTGGCATTCCTTAGTTTGGTATTCACAAGCTGTGACATGCAGCTGTTTTTCCTTTGCACTAAACCATGTATACAATGTGTCTTCATGTACTTGTCAGGTGGCTGAATGAACTCAAATTCAATTTAGACAATAGAGGTAGAAGCGATTCATACTAATAGAACTCACTCTGTGCTACTATAAGTCCCATGAAACATTTTTACACTATATCCAAGCATGAATTTGAAATTACATTTTAAAGTTGTATGACAACCAAGAAGAAAATTAGGATTCTTTAAGTGGTGGAGTAACTTGGAGTTCCAGCAGTACTGGTATGAGATATAGTTGGCACTAGCTCACAAATGGGGATAAGAGCAAAAGAAAATATGGAGAGAGAAGTAATAGAGGCGTATTACGTAAGGCAAAAGGGCAACACCTGCGCCAGCACGGCCTCACCATCCCTTCGAGATAAGGAGATTAGTTTTCTCAACAGTACGTAATGGTCCCTTGGCTGTTCAAGAAAAACAGCGATGCGTGCGCACATCATTATGTGATTGATTGGGCTATAAAATCTTCTGAAGCTCGATGTCCATCCTGTTCTTCTGTGTTATGGGTACACATTGAAATTTCACCAAAAGTGTCCTCAGTTATAACTTGGAGTGCTAAGCATAGTGCTAAGTTTAGTGTTTCTGGTCTTGAGTTCTTTTTTATTCTTTATTTGTGTTTACTTAATTGTTGCCTCTAATTCTTTGGTTTAGTTCTTGATGTAAAGTCTCTGAGATAAAACCTCAGATGGGAATAAATATCTATAGCAGCATTTATAATCACGTCTATACGCTTTTGTTATTTCACCTTGCTATTTCAATAAATGGTTCGATTCATTGGGCTATACTAATCAAGGAATTTTCAACTATGTCACAGCTCCACATAGGGAACACATTAAATAATACAATACATAGCAGACTGATATTGTGAGAAAGCAATGCAAAATCTACAGAACCTAGTTTTGAAACCTCCTTTCAGAGAACAGATTAATAAGAGGCATGCTGCCACACTCACCAAAGAACAGGCAGATGAACAGGCCTATAAGCTCTGTCTTCAAGCCAAGTTTGGTGAGAGCCGTGTCACGAACTATGATGCCAAATGTGATTGCCATTATGGGACCCTTGGGGAGATCACGTAATATATGAGAACACCAAACAAGGCGGACTAACCCAGGCACCAGAGGCGTAGCCAAATATTTTTTTTTCTTAGGGGGGGGGGGGGGGTCACACCTTTTCATTTCAGAGGTGATGCCACTTTGAAATGGTCATTTTTTAGCTGTCTATGCCACAGCAAAAAGAAATTTCGAGAAAAAGGGGAGGGGCACGGGCCCGATGTGCCGCCCCCTGGCTACGCCCCTGCCAGGCACCTTTCTTCTTACGTATGAATCTACAAATATTTACAAGTGTACATTGGCTAGGAATTTTTTCGGCCACACTACAGAACCATTCAAGACATGGGGAAACTAATGTGAAACAATGAATTGGTTTAGTTAAAACTGCTACTTCAGTGAGCTGATTTATAATTAGAATGTATTCATCGGCACAAAAATACAAAACACTTAAGGAACACGTAAGCACAGTGCTGTGTGTCTGTTAAGTATCTTGTCCTTTTTGCGATGGTAAATCTATCATTAGTTTAGACCTTACTCTGAAAACTCAAACATTATTAATTTCAACATCATAGCTTCAATAATCGATAAGAAAATGAAGGTCCAGTTTTTAAATTTCATGCCACAATATCTGCACATCACGTCATGGATCCAAAAGCGTATTCTTTGTATTTCGGTGACAATGGCCTAATTAAATTATCTGAAGCTTATACCTTGAGTCCAGGCCTGATGCCAAGAACATTTTTTCAGGGCAGGAACGGGGGTGCACTTGTTAGAGGCCTTGAAAAACACCTATTTTCATTACTTATTTCTAGTGAAATGCCCTCCAATGCTGGGCAACCCGAGGCCCCTAGGGCACCCTCCTGACTAAGCGCCTGGTTGAGTCCTAGCTTGGCCCCCGCAGAGGACAAGCATCTTTTCGTGGCACGTGGAGTGATTTTGATATTGTGAAAGGGCGATTTGCAAATAAGAGAAAGAAACTTTTCTCTCTACTTGTCCTTTCAAGTAAGTACGACTGCATTTCTGTAACAATCCTTGATTTCTTAAACAAGTGTTCCTCCAAGCAACATCAGCCCTCTGACCTCGTCTTGATACGGTCAGGAAGTACACTGAACCTAAAAAGTGGCTTTTTTTCATTTCACTTCGCTCTATGCCAACACCTGCCCCTAAGCGATCTAAATTAATGCATTATTAATGAAAAAAACTAGAGCTGGCCTGGACTTGCACATTCTTCAACCTACCCCTTCTAAAGTGAGAACAACGGTACCACTCAGAAACCAAGCGAATTGCACCATGTAAGAGCTTTTATCACATAACCTGTAGAAACTGGATATTTTCGATTGTACATGTTCCATGTTATTGTAAATGAACGTTTCTTTCTGCTAAAAAAAACAAAATAAAATTTAAATGAAAAGGCATTTGCTTGGAAGTGAAGTGAGACTGAAGATGAATAAATGGAAAAGTGAGGAACAAAAATTATAAGAAACTATTAACAGTTCACAACTTACATAATTGGATAATCAATCAAACTCACCATAAGGGGTGACACCAGCATAGCAGCTATTATTGAGACTACGTTGTTATCCATCAGGCCAAGAGCAGCAATCATGCTGGGGAAAAAAAAAAAGGATCAAGCTCACGAAAACTTGAATAGATCAACTTTTGCCCTCTTAGGGCACATTAAGATATGAAAAACCTATCTAATTAATAATAATTAATCCTTGTGCATTTACACAAGCTCTATACCAGTGGAGTCTTTGACGAAGTAAGCTTGAACAGCATGGTAAGACTCTGCATAGGACGACATACAGTGTCAGATAGACAAGTGTTGTAGGTGAAAAGCACTACAGGTGGCACTTGATGATGAGCTATGTTTGTCGTGTCTCTACGTCACTATTACAGCATCCACATTTGCATGCCCAGTGTTTTAACATGAATGCGTATTATCTTAGCCCAGCATCACTGTTATTCTAAACAATGCAAGAGTTAAGAACTGAAATTTGGGCGAATTCGGTATGCATTCATCATTTCCCACCAAAGGTCTTCGAAGCTGTTCCGCTATTTGAGAATACTAATTAGAATGACCGCATATGCAAACAAGGCAGGCCTGAATGAAGTGTGACAACCAATTAGTAATACAATGGAAAAATGTTCTCACCCTGCAAGAATTATGAATGCCACAAAATCAAATGTGAGCTCTCCCTGAGCCTTGACCCCTGCAACAACCTAGGCAAGACAGACCACACTGATGACTTATTATCAGCACAGCGAAAAATTACAAAAAATGTTCGAGGAATCGTGCTGAGCCAAAGCAAAGCACACTGCAAACATGCCCACAGCTTCACATACGAAGTTTCTGGGCAATGGCAACAACAGTTCAGTCAATAGAAGTAGAAGCAATTAGGCATTCGATGGGACATTGAGAGATTTGGAATAAACTAATTAGGGTGTCTTGTTTTAAAAACAACAACTAATTAAGGTGTCTTGTTTAAAGACAACATGCTCACTCAAACGACACACGAGAGATCGTTTTCAGTGACACACAAAAAGCTTTCCAGGCAAGCATTCAAAAAAGTAAACACAAAAACCCTACGTTAAACATAAACACCCTACGCAAAACAATTAAATATGCCGGCGGTATGACACAAACACGTTGTACAGTTTGAATAGGAATGCATTTCACCATTAAGAACTGGAAGGCTTCAAAGGCAGCTCCATACAGATACTAAATACTCTTGCATTGACAGCATAAATACCTATGTGACAGTTTACGTTAGAAAGAATGCATATTTTCATGCATTACGGTAAGACAAAGCATGCGACTCGAGCAAAAAAGCTAGACAACCTGACAGTAGGTTACAGGAAGTCATTGCATGCACGTACAGCATCAACATTTCATAATAGTGAACCATAACCCGGCAAGTTGTAACATGTATGCTCGACTAAAAATAATTACTATGCAAACATTGAAATGAAAAACAAGCCAATCAGCAGATTAAACTTGGAAAGATGGGGCATATGCAAAAACGGCAACTCATGATCAAAAAGGGTAAAAGAACAAAGGTAATGGCTATGCCTTAATGGTTATAAAACTTTCAGAGCTTTAAAACATTTTTGTTCTCCCCCCCCTCCACTGAACAGACTTCACTGTCTGCTTCAGGCCTTGCAGCTGCTTTTCTCCATTCTATCTCCCTCTAACAAATAGTCTTTTCATTAAAATGATTGCCTACTTATTTTTTTGTATGTATGTTCTAACAGGTGGTCTTGAAACCCCTGTCTTTCAACTGTAAGGCGTACTCTTGGGTCTATACATTTTATGCGTTATACTAACAATTTATGCACTAAATATTACAAAAATTGAGACTGCTTCCTTTATACAGCACATCATATTATGAGCACCATTTCGGCAAATCAATATCCCTTTTGCAAAGCTGACGAAGCATAGGATTTTACAGTAAGCAAGCAGCACTGCAAAAACGCAGATATGGTCTTCCCCATATGTTCAGTTCAAATTTTCACTGCAGATTCACATTTATAAACCAAGGAGCTTAATACAAGATTATGTCAACTATGTACATCCTAAATAAAAAAATAACTAAATATAGCATTATTATTCTGCTTCAATCAATGAATTTTTTTCTTCCCAACTGCGATCTATTTTGGCCCTTAACCAACAGCTGATAGTAGGTCAAATAAAATAGTATATTTGATGCTAGAACAAAGCTAGAGACATTCCAATGAGATATCAAAGAAAAGCACAAGCCTCTTTTTCTCTCTAAAATCAAGGTCAGGTGTATCGGCATCTATATTACAACCTTACTCCATGATTTCTTTTTTATTTCTTATGCAAGCTGAACAACCGGTTAGCTTTTAGCTTTATACTCCGTTTTGCACATTATGTGCAACAATGCGAAAGCTATGCAAAAAGTTCTGTCAGCAGAAAGTGCAAGTCAAAGCATCTCATTCTTGGTTTTTTATAAACATGGTCTCTGCGAGTGGCTCTGGCTGTACGTTACTGGAATTAATCACGGAGGCCATGGCATGAAAACAAAGATGCTAAGCAGAGCACAACAACCTATTGAAAACCATGTAAATAACGTGTTTTGTTTGTTTGTATGGCATAACACATCTTTATTTGTTACTCAGCCTAAAATGATGATGATGATAATAATAATAATGATGATGATAATAATAATGATGATGATGATAATGATGATGACAATGCCGGGAAAATTATTGAACAATTTTTTAGTGCAAATACATCAACTGCGCGAAGTCTCATTAGCTTCCGTAGCATTGCCCCTGATGCATGAAACATACATCAAGCACCTGCTGTATGAACAGGGAGATTCTCCCATTTTCCCAAATATGGTCTGGAATCATAACTTCCAAGTGTGTTGTTGACACATAAAAAAAGGTCATCATTGTATCATGCACTACATTCCTCAATGTAAGATTAACCTCTGTAAGTTTGAGGCACGTCAAAAGCATGCTCAATGAACTGCACACCTGAGCAACCGTAAGTCGTGCCTTCACTGATTTCAGGAACTTTCTCTGCATCGATCGAAATCCACTCTCCTTCTCTTTCTCCTTTTTTTCTTCATCCCTAAAATGGGAAGGCATCAACATCTCAATCAGAGCAAATCCAGAGACATTGCAATCAATTCAGCCTACTTCCATTATTAGCACACTTCGTCTGCAGAACTAAAGAAACAACAGGGACGAATAAAAATGGGATAAGTTTTTAATTCCTTTGTTAGCTCGTTTAACTATGAAATCAAGCGACCTATTCTACAGAAATGCTGTTTTTTCCGCATTTACAACCTGTTTTCAATTTGCGAGAAATTTATATCGTGGAATATTTCTTTCACACTGTTTGCGGTTCGCATAAACAAATTTTTCAAATAGTACCTCCATGCTAAAAGGAATGCTCTAAACATCTGCGCATAAATAAATACACTTCATGTGTCATGGTCGCGGTCTACGTACATTCATTTTCGAAGCAAGAGCTGTTGCTGTGTTTCACTCACAACTTGCTCGAAGAGCACAGCATGTGATAGCCTAGCCTTTTAGAAAACTGCTTGTTTTCTTTTCTCTGAAAACTTTTTTTTAATAATAATGCAAGACATTCAACCACAAATAATTTTTCTTCAATGTGAAAATATATCATATGTACTGTAATATGGCTTGAGAACAAATAAAATGCAGTTTGGCAACCCCTCTAAGGAATACATACTGAGTTCAATTAATGAAGCAAGAAGTGTACCGAATGTAATAATAACACAAGTTTATTTGTGTAATGTGATCTTGCAAAATTATGCTGAGTTCATACAGTCATAAGTATGAGAGTTTTCTCACAATACATGTAGTTTCAAGCAAGGCAAGCATTTGTGTATACTATATATACTTTTGTTGGCATATGCAAACGACTTGCAGTTCTGTGCATAATATTGATGAGTTAAATAAAGCAGATTTTTACATGTCATAGCAGACAACACGCAGAACAGAACGCATGCCTACGTAGGTTGTCATGACTGATACACAACAAATATGTCATAGCAGTTCTATTGTACAGATGGGGAAGTCCTGCTATATAACTGCTGCCCCTTTTTTGTGCTGCCAATTGCTGTATAATCTGTGAACAGTTTTTAATTTATTAGTGCAGAAGCAACATAAACATTTCTTACCAGCTTACCTTTCCATTAATATGAAAATCAAGCACAAGAAAACGAACTTGCAGAAGGCACAGTTTTTATTACGATTTAACCTACATGCGAAATCAGAGTAATGATACCATAGTTTGCAGATGCTTAATCTTACAACAGCACATATGGCTTAAGGCTTCACCACAATCATGCATTATAACTGTCCAACAATATCACAATGTAGCAAGATCAGCATCCAATTTATACATTATGAGTGCTGCCTTTTGCAGTTTGTGATGATTGTGCTTCAATTTTAATTAACATTACATGGCTCTCAGCACTGTAGCATGAAAGTGCTAGCAGTAAGCATGGCTTGACGCATCAATATACTGTACCCCATAAAACCAATCACTGAGCCAGAACAAACTATTTGTGCCTGAGATGTTGCAAAATCGAAACGCTTACTTACGCAGACTCGTAGTTAGCATCAGCAACGGTAATTTGTTCCTCGTCATCACTTTCTGGTGCTGTGGCTCTATAGAATATCGGACATGGAAACACGCTGCCAATGACAGAAGAGAAGGCACAGACGACTCAGACTCCGAGTAATGTCCAGCGCTAGATGTTTAAACACATTAAGAGTGTTGCGATGATACCCTAAGAGAAACTCAAGCATGGCATTAGTTATCCAAGCACCATAATAGAATAAAATTGAATGGTACTAGAGAAAAAGACAAAGAAAATTGTAACGGGTGTTGCTGATATTTGTCTGGTCATAAACCTACCGTGCTACTCAACATGACAAGTGTGACATAGTACACAAACTTATTCGTACACAGAAGACTAGTGTACAACATATGTGAGCAAAGATGGTAACGATTAAATGACTGAGATGCCTGACCGAGTCTATTGCATTTGAAATGGGTTAACTGCATCATCATTGTACAGCTGCTAGCACTGCTCAAAGGTCAAAATACTTCAAAATTTAGAGTGAACTCTAAAGTAGTCCATGAGATTTTAAGACACAAACACATGCATTCAACATTTTAACTGCTTGTACTGACTTTATAGATCAAGTTCAGTTTGTGAAACCAGTAAATAAACATTATACAAATGCCAGCCACAGTATGCAAATAGAAGGTAAAACGACCTCAATAAAAATACTGTGTGTATCATTCGGTAAAAAACTGAAAGCACATCCATATTTGGGAGATAATTGATTGCAATGTGATCATACTTATGTTTGGTGTTTATTAGTGACAATGTGATACGGTTTATAAAGTAAGATGATTACGATGATGATTATTATACCCTTACAATACAAAATTGCATACATACACATGCACCCGTACAAACAAAAACTAGTGATATTATTGCCAACCACATACCGAGTGACACGACAGCGCCATCCGTAATCAGAACATCATCACTAGTATTCTCACTGCAGCTTTGCTGCAACCGCTCCATCTATGTGGCTGCACTTGCCATAGAGATGTTTCTAGACAGTGGTGTGCCACTGTTTTATCAACCCCAGCTACAAAAACTTTTGTGTCACCTTTGCACTTCCCTTCTGAGGAATTGATCCAATAATGCGGACATAATGTATCTATGTCATAAATATAGTGACCAAGTGTCTGTACACATACACAGTTACAAAACACATTACAAAACATTGTGACACATGGACTAGTTCTTGCAGGGGTAACAACTCTTGTCTTCATTGCTGATGAGGACAAGTCTACTCTTCAAAATGTTGGCTGTAGCAACGGTCCCTGTTCAACGATTTTTCATCACAAGCCTAAGCCAAAAAGCAGTCGCTATTTTTATAGTCTGTGTGGAGCAGAACAGTTTGAATCGAAATTCGTGTACAGTTGTTCCACAATAGCTTAGTGTTCCACACGCTTGACACCCGAATAGTTACATAGCCAACAGGGGTATGGGTTCAAATCCCTCTTTTCCGATGTAAAGTGAAGTGGTGAAGCTGGGGATGCTATGTACCCAAATAATGGCAGAAGTAATTGCTGCGTGCCACTGACTGACAATGATGCTCAACATTGTTTTAACAGAAACATAATAGGGTGCATGTCCTTTAATCGTTCACCTATTATGAGTCTACTTTCCAAGCCATCCTTTTTTCCTTCTAAGGTAATGTATTAATTCATCTTCCCCAAACCAATTCAAGCTTTTGGTCTCTCACCTGGTTTTGCATTACCTCCGTGTTTGGCCCACCTTTGACCAAGCGACGACGTCATCTGATGACATTATCATGTGCGACATCATATTTTTTTTACATTATGACGACATCACAAGTTTTGGCAATCTGTGATGTCATGATGATGTTATATGGTGATATCATCACAGGATAAATCATGTTGACGTACCCGATGGCAATCAATTTTCCCAGTTTATAAGCCATCTAAGGCTCTTTCCATCATTAACAGATAGACATAATGGGCAATTCTGAGCACTTCACCACTATCACAGTAACAAAAGGTAACCTCACCCAATAGTTGAGTCATATTTCGAACCGATTCCACGAGACGTCAAGTCGCTCAGAATGCAATCTGTTGGTTTGCCGCTTTCATAAGGAAAGGACACCTAGAGGACATGAAGGAATGGACAGGGTCAGCAGAGTTACACTTAAGACAGTAAGACCACTAAGTCAGGATTTAGGGAGCACAATAAAATCTTGTGCACGTGTACACATTACCTGGTAGTACGTGTCCTCAGCAGTTGCATTCCAAATGGCATTTCGAATTCCATATGACTCTAGGCACTCTACAAGAGCCTAAAGCAGAGAAGGCACACTGGCACCTTACTTTGTCCAAACATTTGGTATATCTTAAGACTCAAATATATCGTAGAATAATTTACAGGGCCACGGGTTAGATACAGACAGAAAGGAAAAGACACAGTGCTGAACTCACAACTAAATTTATTTTGAAAAAATCAAGTCATGTGCACAGATATGCGCCTTGCACTACTGGTATGGTTTACGCCATTCCACTGTATTGTGGCGGCAAATACGTAGGCCAAACGGGGCGCTGCTTAAACCAGAGCTTATGATAGCATGAATTGATGATTTCAGGTGCTGCAGTCACATCTCATTCTGCAGCTTATTGCATATCATGTGGATGTGTGACCAACTAGCGGAAAACGATTATCAAAATATAGGCATCTTAATCAGTGCACCTGTGAAATGGCCAAAGCCTTTTTTAGATGCAAAGCAGCTCTTTGACTAGTCTGTGTAACACTGTCTATCTGTGTCTCGGTCCCAACACGCCGCACTGCACTGCGTTCTCCCCGCCGCAGTTGTTGGAATAATGCCAAGTAGGTCATGTCACAGTTGCACGATGACATCACTCTCACTCAAAATTTTTATGAACCAATTTATGGATAAATTTAGTGCATGAGTCATCCGTCTATCACTATTCCAGATGAAGAATCCAACTATTTGCAAGACCTGAATCATGTTGTGTTGTAACACATGTGCACATGCACACAGTTTTAATTACTCACTGTTCTGTATACATGTTCTTTCTTTTTCAAAGTAAATTTAGTTGTGAGTTCAGTGCTTTGTCCTTTCCTTCTGTTTGTAGCAAACCCATGGCACTGTAAATTATTCTACAATGAACCAACTTGATCAACTCGCGATTCTCCTTAAATTACATACCTGCTTCAAGGTAAGGTGCTCCTTGCTATCGCAAAAGTTTTCCCTGTCATCATCTACAAATGAAGAACAGAAAGTAACTTTTTAAAAAAGATACGAGCGCATGAAAAAGGGGGCATGCACTCTGTAGTTCCACTTCTTTTTTTGTTTCCTAATAGCAAATTTTAATTTCATCTTGTTTTCCTTTCTCATAGTGAGCCTATATAACATCCACTTCAGGAGTGTGCACATACACATATAGAGATGTGTGGAAACTCAAGCATGCCGGTAGCGTATAATGAATGTAAGAACAGGGAAATAACAGGAGCGGCACCAGCAAGGGGTATAGGGGCTGAAGCCCCCTCAAAATTTCCGCCTGCCCACCCTTCGCCCCCCCTTAGAGCAAGTGTAGTCAAAACGCAACACATGTTCCCAGCCTCCCCGAAGGAACTCGCCTGTTGTGAATTCCTTCCCGGTAAAAAAATCCTGCAGCGCTGCCCCTAGGCAAGCGGCAAGGTCTGACTGAAAATAATACCCCTCTTTGAGCGTTTTGACATATTAGGCAAGCATTTCTCGCAGTTAATGCAAGAGATAATAGAAGCACATCACATCAGAGAGTTTGAAAGCTTGTGTAAGTTCCGTTAGTTGTTCTACCAAGAGATTGCATACCTCAATCAATTTTAAATTGTGTACTGTCTTCGAGCACAATCAAAACATCGACGCTGTTAACTGCCTGTCCTCTAAGCATGCCTCTATTCCATACATGTATCTATGCACTTCGCTTAGCTATTAAGCATTGCTGAAAGTCAGTCACTGTTTTTTTTTTTTTTTTTTTGCCACTCCTCGCCTGTTAGCGCTGTTGATACATTCAACGTGTAGCGAGAGAGCAGAGAAGGGGAAGCTACGTGATTTCCATTGATACATAAGCAACGAAATGTCACATCACCTATACCTTCTGATGTTGCCCGGCTGTCGGCGCAAGAGCGCGCCTGCATTTTCGGTGGCTTCCTTTGGGATACTGACCAGGAACCACATGCCCGATCTCATACTGCCGGAACCCCCTCCAGGCATTTTTTACAACGCTGCAAAACTCACGCGACGTATTTTTAATTCTGCAAGAAAAACACACACATCGCGTATTTAATACACGTACGTACGCCGGGCATGCAATCCTAAACCAAAAAGCGCGGCCACCAGTCGCTTTTGTTTATCCCCCCCAAAATATTGATTGATTGGCATGTGGGGTTTAACGTCCCAAAACCACCATATTATTATGAGAGACGCCATAGTGGAGGGCTGCGGAAATTTCGACCACCTGGGGTTCTTTAACGTGCACCCAAATCTGAGCACACGGGCCTACAAAATTTCCGCCTCCATCGGAAATGCAGCCGGGATACGAACCCGCGACCTGCGGGTCAGCAGCCACTAGAGCCATCGCGGCAAGGTCCCCCAAATATCGACATTGTGCATCAAGTGGCCTCGACACAATTACGGGGGCTAAACGGAATTTAAAACGATTAAGCTAAAGTTGTCACGGATGAATGGTTATTCGACACGCTCAAACCATGCATACATTTGACTCCTCGCCGACGCCTCCACTATGGGATGTTAAAATAAGAAATCATACACAAGGAGACCGCGCCCACGATTAGTGGCCTATATATAGGAGACAATGCTCGACTGATTATCACGGTATGCAACTATCGGCACAGTAGTATCGCAGGTAGACGCGGAGTTCCTCACCTTCCCGGTGAGGGCGGCAGCATGAATGGGAGTTCGTCTTTCTAGGTCACCGGCTAAAGCGGCTAAAGGTTGTGAATTTCGGCAGAATAAATCCGTTACTACATTATCTAGTTCCTGAATGATCCAACCGCTGATGTACGGCTAGAGGAAATTCTCCACTGTGAAAGGCCCCGCGTAACGGCTCACTCCGCACGCTCCAACGTGCATGATACTCTACGACTCTTCCTCCATGCTCTCACATCATTTCTCTCTCCGTGCAGCTAGGGAGCTTTCTAGGGAATGACCTAGGGAGCGCTGTAGAGAACGAAATTTTTGCGGTGCGGAGCTCGCGCCAGTGCTATGTAAGCAGGGGTTACTCAACTATTGTTTCATTTCTGTAGTAGCTATTATTTAACCAGGGAACGCTACCAGACCCTTTCGAACGGAGTTCGTCGCTGTGACATCGCACACAAGTGAGTCAAACGCGGCCTGCCTATCTTTCCTTTTGGAAAAATAACGATCGTTGCTCACTGCTCTGAACATATATCGAAATGCAAATCGAACGCGCTTGCTTTGCACCCGGTTGCAGCACGTGTGAACTTTAGCATGGCAATTATACCGGCGAGCGAGTCTTCGAAGCCGGCAGTGCGCGTCGTGTAAATTCTCTCGTACACTGCAGTAGTCTTCATCAGTGACCGTCTGTGCCGTGTGTTTAGTTTAGCTTTTGACAACTGCGTTTGCGGTCAATGACAGCTCGCGTCTTTTGACAGGAATTACCAGGGAAGCTGAGGCCGAGTAGTAGACTTGCTCCTGCAACGCGTGCTCTTCCGTGTCCAGAAACGCGGCACTTCCTTCTCCATATAGAAGTATTTTCTGTCTGCGCTGATCTGACAGGTAAGTGCCATGCTTGCGAATTTTGCATAGAGTTATTGTTAGAGCGGGAGTGATCTTCCAGCGTATTTTTTTTTTTTTTTCGGTTCAGTAAAGACGTCGTCATATTTCAGACAAATCAGAGACTCTAAGACTGCGATGGTTAATTTCACTTTGTTTTTATTGTAACAGCCGAAATTGCAATTCAAGTCCGGAGACACTTTTTTTTTCTTTCTCCACGGCTAGTCCGACCGAGCAAAATTTCTATTTGCTAGTTTTGGGTTCCTCCTGACCGCTTGGCAGGGCTTCTTGCGCAGCCTCTCCTGAACGAAACTTGGGAAATGTTTCCCACGGCGTGGCCAAATCAAACTTCCTGAACTCCTGCGTCATCTCGAGCGGTTCGACGACGACCCTCTGCACTTCGTCGTCGTAGCGGACCTCCACGTAGCCCGAGAGCGGGAAGTCCTTGCGGAACGGGTGTCCCTTCGAAGCCGTAGTCCGTCAGTATCCTCCTCAGGTCCGGGTGGTTGCCGAAAAAGACTCCAAACATGTCCCAAACCTCGCGTTCGTACCAGTTGGCGCCTTTGAAGACTGCCGTGGCGGAGTCCAGCGGCGTAAGTTCGTCTGTGTACGTCTTCACACGAATCCTCGAGTTGAAGAACACCGACAGAAGGTGGTAGACGACTTCAAAACGATACTCCCGTGTTGGTACGTCGACGCCGCAGATGTCGACTATGTTTGTGTACTGAGCGTTGTGGTGTTCTTTGAGAAAGCTGAGCACGGGCACAACTCCTTCGGGAGCAATCATCACCTCAAGCTCGTCACCAGGCGTTATCTGCACCTTCTGGACGTACTTGGGCAGGCACTCGGCCACGTACCTTCCGAAGTCCTCGAGTTTTGAGCGCTGCACGTACTGGGGCTTACGCACCGAGGGCCTAGTTTCTTGGGTCGCAGCGTCTTGGCTGTCGTAACGCCGCGCTTGTGTCGACGTCAACGGCGTAGTCTGCCGCATAATATTGCCTAGGTTCGTGAGGCGTCGGATTCTTCCAAATAGAAGAGACATCGTCACAAACGAGCTTCGCGCTTATAATAAATCGGCGTCTCCTTGCTCGGCGACCTTCCTTCGCATTAACTTCAGACGAGACTACGGCAAGCAGCCACGGTAAAGTGGTGATGATGATAGCGTTTATGAATGGATGGATGAGCCAACGCCTGCTAGAATGAGCTCGGGTGGTGGCGCGGAGGCTGCGCCGTCTAGCGTTTCTGTTGAAAGACTCAGTTCGGTACTATCTTGCACAGCGGCGTGAGGCCTCTAGTGCGGCGGCGTTTCCCCCGTACGTTCGCGTTTGTGGAGCTTCTCAAACTGCCCTGCACCGCATTTCTACCTGGACGTTATTTTTTACTGTAAGTAACCTAACATTACTAGAAACAAGGCCTGCTTCGAGAGTATCCACTGACATTTCGTGGGAGCGCTCACGTGCGCATGCACGCGGTAAGAGACGGCGACGCTAGAGTGTACTAGCGACGCTAAGGAGTGTACCTGGTGGCCAGCAAGTTTGACAGTTGGATTTGCGTTTTGGTCTCATCGCGCGCACGGTCTGACCGTTTCTCGACGGTGAGCAGCAGCGGCGACCGTTCTGCGAAGGCCCCGGCAATGACTTGCAGGTAAAGAGCGGGAAACGAGTGTGACACAATGGAGCGTCCGGCGATCGTGGAAAACGGGGCTGGCGCCGATAATGCCACTTATAAGGCTACCATAACGCACGTGGCACCAGAGAACCGATGGCTCAAACTGTTCGTGCAGAGTAACTACGACGTGATCAGGCATATCGAAGATTACCTCGAGGGCCTCGAACCGACGCTGTCTACTAAGCCTGGCTTTATGCATCAGAGCCAGATAGCATTGGGAACGCCGTGTTTCGCGCGCTGCTCGAACAAGTGGTACCGCGCCGTGGTGTCGTCCTGGCCGTGTCATAATGAGACTTTAGTTGAGGTCACGTTCATTGACTATGGAAACTGCGAGGAGGTAAGCGTGGGTGACGTGCGCCAAAGCCCAGACCCGATCTTTAGGACGCCGCACGCAGTTAGCGAGTGCTTCCTAGACGAACTCGACTTGAGCTTTATCACTCCGCAGGGTGCAGAGGAGCTAGTCCTATTGGCAAAGAACACACTTTCGTCTGCAGAAGTTACCGTCGCTGTCCGTAGGCTCGGGCAGGTTCAGGTGAACTGCGTCAGGCCCATTGTTTCGGTGACCTTGCCGGACGGGAGAAGCCTGGCTGACATGCTAGTCCGTTCGTCGGCGTTTGCCAACGCCATGGCCCAGACTGCTGTGAGGTCTGCCTTCCTCCTTCCTGCCATAAAATTGGGCGTTCCTTACCAGGTTTACGTTTCGCACGTTGAAGCAATCGACAACCTTTATGTGCATCTCGCGACCAGGGAACCATCGGAGTTCACGGAAATGATTCAGGACGCGTACGCCAACGTGGCCCCACTTGATCCTTCGCTGGTACATAAAGATACTGTTTGTCTGGCGCGTTTCACGGAGGATTCCCAGCTCTACCGCTCCTCTTGTTGTCGACTGCTGTCAGGGTGCTTGTAAAGTGGCCTTTGTCGATTATGGCAACCACGAACTGAAGCCGGCATCAGAGTTGTTTGTCATCCCTCCCGAACTGCTGGAAGAACCCGCCTTTGCAATCCATTGCGATGCGACGAGCACGGGGCTAGACAAAGACACATTCCTTGAAGTGACTGCGGACCAAAAGCTGACGTGCGTGTTTTTGCAGGGAGTGAGGCACGGCGTATATGTTGTCATGTTCGATGGCCTGAATGGCAGCAAAGTGACAGCTCCAACAGCGAATTGTGTCTCGTATAATGGACTGCCAGGATATGTACCGCCAACGAGTACTTCCTACATCCAGATACAGCAACTGAGGCTTGATCCAGGCTGTCGCCATGTCATGTATGTCACATATATTGAGTCCACTGAAATTTTCTATGCACAGCTAAAGGAAATGGCAGACGACATTGAGCAGATATCAACACAGCTGGAAGCTGAGTCCTCTTCACTTGCTTTGCTTTCACCGGCAGATATCGTGCCTGGCTTGGCTGTAGCTTGCAGGTATGAAGGAACGTGGTACAGGGCTGTAGTGGTCCAGCCTGGCCCACAAGTCCAGGTCTGGATCGCTGATTACGGAGACACCACAGTGCTCGATATCTCTGAGCTCCGACAGCTAGACCTGAAGTACACACTGCAGCCTGCGTATGCGACAAAGCTCACCTTGGACGGCTTCACGTGTACGCCACAGTTTTCCGAAGATTTGACATCGTTGCTGCAGAGTCTCCTCCTCGACGTGGAGGCAAATGTCTCGATTGTCGACGTCCGTCCCGACGGTACACACACTGTCCATATATTCGTTGGGGACCCTCCGAAATCTGTTGTCAAGGCCCTGAGCGCGAAGCTTGAAAGTAGTAGGCAGGGAGTCACGGCAAAGGTGCAGATGCCCACTGTTTGTCCTGTGGAGAAACTCGTTGTCACGAGCGTCACTCCCCCTCAGAAGTTCTTTGGCCAGTTTGTAAAGGTCTCTGACGAAGAGCTGGACGCCTTGCAGAAGGCGCTGGGAGACCATTATTCCAAGTCATTTCCAGACCCAGCCTTCATGCCGATGCCTGGAGACCACGTATGCTGTCGATTCTCCGAGGACGGGCAGTTCTACAGGGCGAAGATTGAGAGAGTTTTTGGCAACGGCTCACAGTACGATGTTTTCTATTTGGACTATGGCAATGAGGAGACCGTGTTGCTGCAGGACTTGCGCGCCCTAAAGCCAGAGTTTGCGGTCGCTCCCTTGTTTGGTATACCTTGCCAGCTGCAGTCTGCGGAAGTCTCAGAAGACATGGTTGACACAGAAGTGGAGGTGCGCTTCCTGGCCTGCCATGGCGACGTCCACACCGTGGCGTTTACCACCCATAGGCAGAATCTGCCGCAAAGAGGTTTGTTCGTTTTTTATGGAGCTACTTATTGTAAGTAGTGCAGCGGCTGTTGCAGCTGCATTTGCGGGGAAAATAAAGGGTGGTAAGAAACAAACTCGAAATGACGTGGACTGGTGAAGTTGAAGACTGCAGAACCAGTCAGCGTTGTTTTGGTGTTCCTTTCTTGCCCCATTTATTTGCACTGCATAAAGTTAAAACTCGGATAGCCCATGAGCAGGTAATTTTGCAGTTGTGCAAGCCACTATGCTCTGTTCAGTTCTTTGCAGCAAGCTGTCATGCGAGTCTGATTCTGTACATTTTATAGGGCAGTTTCCTTATGTCGCATTCTGTGGAGTAACTATTTCATACATCGCAGCTACAACAAATCTTTTTTTTTTTTTGTGTGTACATGCACACACACAAAAGATTTGTAACTGGGATGTACGTTGTAGGCTGTTTGGCATATTGAAATAACGGGCACATGCAGCTGTTATCACATGCACTTGACAGACAATCTTAACATTTGCTAGCAAAACAAGGGATGTATTCACATTTCTGTGGTGAAATGGCATTTGTGCTGTCTGCTATTTCCTTGTAACTCAGCCTATCACTAGGAAAGGCTACAAGAGACTAGCTGACAAGTAGCCAAGGAAGGTGGCTATCGCCTTGGTGTTGGACTTGTTTGGTTGCCCAAAGTGCAGCTGCAAAACAAATAGCCTGTCAAGGAATGTATTGTTGACTTGTAGATATACACGATGGTATGGGATATCTGAGAATGCCTATGGGCTGTCCCAAAAGACGCTAGGGGTTCATACTTGCTAAAGTGCAAAAACGCCCATGCTCAAAGATACCACTCGCTGCTGGTTGAAGTTGGTAAAGATTACTCTACAGTTGCTGGTGCCTCTTGTACCTCGAGTTATTTGATGGAAAAGCGGGGCAAACAACCGGACAAGTAACTTGCTGCTCTGCTATATCAGTCTTTGTGAAATTAGCAACAGCACAAGGAGGCAGTCGAGCTAGGGCTAGAGCAATGCAGTGTATTGCTTTCACGTGAACACTCTGTGAGTTATGGCGTTACAGAAATGAAACAGACAGCTCGTTGTGAAAAGAATGTTATAACTAAATGTAGCTTTCTGGTCTAGTTGGTTTGAGGTCATGGTAGGGTAGGTTGATCAAAAAAAAGTGCTTTCTTCTATTTCATTACGAAAAAACAACACGCACTTCCGAGAGTAAAACCATGCTTCACAGGCTAGAGCGGGAGGTGTCGGCATTGGCGGGGTGTCGCCGTGCATATTGGTGCGGCACATTTTCATGACACCTGCAGGTGGCGCATCATTGTTTGCAAGAGCCTTTTGCACTTGAACTGTGTGAACACAACTTGCACTTGAACTGTGTGAACACAGCTGGAGCCGGTCTATGAGGCGGCGAGCACGTTAGACCAGTCGCCGCGATATGGCACATTCGCGTGTGCGAATTGCGCAGGCAGTGCGGGTGTGCGTTCATCGTGCATCTGCAGAAACTCGTTCCTCGAATGCAGGCATTCAAATCTTTATCATTCAGTTTTTACCATGAAAATCTGAACAGCATTGATGTGGTGGCGCTGCTGTCGGCTCCGAGAGCCGGCAGTGCATTGTCCTGAAAGAATGCTGTGTTTCCGGTGCACCGTTGCTCACTCCTCCTCCTCTAGCCACCAAAACGGTGTATTGGTAAGTGCATAGAGCTGCTGGAAGCCATTTAAAAATGGTGCAAACAACTGCACCTCCTGATAGATGCAAAAGCTTGTTGACACGTCGTTTTCCTTAGTTTCTGCATGTGTGTATTTTTTTATGTGAATTAAATATCACTAGGTTGGTTAAATGTTTCCTATTATTTTCATTTGTTTTAATTGAAAATTTTCCGAGCCATAATAGTTTTGTAGCATAGTCATTGGTGTACGTTGAGAGCACTTTCTGCACGTGCTCTTTAACGTAAAGGCACAATTTTTTCACAATATCAAAATCACTAAGCTTACCGTCGAAAGATGCTTCATCATCATCATCAGCCTGACTACGTCCACTGCAGGACAAAGGCCTCTCCCACGTTCCATCAGTTAACCCGGTCCTGTGCTTGCTGCTGCCAATTTATACCCGCAAACTTCTTAATCTCATCTGCCCAACTAACCTTTTGTCTCCCCCTAACCCGCTTGCCTTTTCTGGGAATCCAGTTGTTACCCTTAACGTCCAGCGGTTATTCTGTCTACGCTCTACATGCCCGGCCCATGTCCATTTCCTCTTCTTGATTTCAGCTATGATATTCTTAGCCCCCGTTTGTTCCCTAATCCATTCTGCTCTCTTCTTGTCTTTTAAGGTTACACCTACCATTTTTCTTTCCATTGCTTGCTGCGTCGTCCTCAATTTAAGCTGAACCCTCTTTGTAAGTCTTCAGGTTTCTGCTCCGTTGCTAAGTACTGGCAAGATACAGCTGTTATATACCTTCTTCTTGAGGGATAGTGGCAATCTACCTGTCATAATTTGAGAGCGCTTGCCAAGTGTGCTCCACCCCATTCTTATTCTTCTAGTTACTTCAATCTCGTGGTTCGGCTCCGCGGTTATTACCTGCCCTAAGTAGATATAGTCTTTCACAACTTCAAGTGCACTGTTACCTATCTCGAAGCGCTGTTTTCTTTCGAGGTTGTTGTACCTTACTTTCGTTTTCTGCAGATTAATTTTAAGAGCCACCTTTCTGCTCTCCTTGTCTAACTCCGTAATCATGAGTTGTGATTTGTCCCCTGAGTTACTCAGTAATGCAATGTCATCGGCGAAGCGCAGGTTACTAAGGTACTCTCCATTAACTCTTATCCCTAACTGTTCCCATTCTAGGCTTCTGAAAACCTCCTGTAAGCACGTGGTAAACAGCATTGGGGAGATTGTGTCCCCCTGCCTTACACCCTTCTTGATTGGTATTCCGTTGCTTTCTTTATGAAGCACTATGGTAGCAGTTCATCCCCTGTAGATTTCTTCCAGAATGTTTATATATATTTCATCGACGCCCTGATTCTGCACTGTCTGCATGATGGCTGATATTTCTACTGAATCAAACGCCTTCTCGTAATCTATGAAGGCTATGTATAGTGGTTGGTTATATTCTGCACATTTCTATATTACCTTATTGATAGTATGAATGTGGTCGATTGTTGAGTAGCCTGTTCGAAATCCTGCTTGATCCTTTTGGTTGATTGAATCCAAATCTTTTCTTTACTCTGTTAGCAATTACCTTTGTAAATAGCTTGTATACTACAGAGAGCAAGCTGATCGGCCTGTAATTCTTTTAGTCCTTGTCATCTTCTTTCTTATGTATTAAGATGATAGCATTCTTCCAAGACTGGTACTATTCCCATCAGGAGACACCTCGTATACAGGGTGGCTAGTTTTCTAACACAATCTGTCCTCCATCTCTCAGCAGATCTGATGTTACCTGATTCTCACCAGCAGCTTTACCTCTTTGCATGCTTCTCTAAAGCTTTTCTGACTCCTTCTATCATTACTGGTGGGGTGTCATCTGGGTTACTGCTAGTTCTTATAGTATTAAGGTAGTGGTTGTCCCGGCTACTGTACAGATCTCTGTAAAACTCCTCCACTATTTTAACAATCCTATCCATATTGGTAGTTATTTTGCCTTCTTTGTCCCTTAGGGCATACATCCGATTTTTGCCTACTCGAGTTTCCTCTTCACCGATTTGATGCTTCCTCCGTTTTTCAGAGCGTGTTCAATTCTCTCCATGTTATACCTTCTTACATCGCATACCTTACGCCTATTAATCAACTTCGAAAGCTCTGCCAGTTCTATTTTGTCTGTTGTACTTAAGACTTTCATGATTTGACGCTTCCTATTGAGATTCTTCGTTTCCTGGGAAAGCTCACCAGTGTCCTGTTTCACTACCCTGCCTCCAACTTTCACTGCACACTCCGTAATGATACTCGTCAGATTATTATTCATTGTATCTACGCTGAGGTAGGTTTCTTCACTAAGAGCCGAGTACTTGTTCTGAAGCGAGACTCTGAATTCCTGTACTTTCCCTCACAGTGCTAGCTCATTGATTGGCTTCTTGCGTATCAGTTTCTGTCGTTCCTTTCTCAAGTCAAGGCGAATTCGAGACCGTACCATTCTATGGTCACTGCATCATACTTTGCCAAACACTTCCACATCCTGCACGATGCCTGGGTGTGCACTGATTATAAAGTCCATTTAGTTCTTATTTTCGCCATTAGGGCTCCTTCATGTCCACTTGCGGTTTACTCGTTTTCGGTAGAAGGTATTCAAAATCCGTAAATTACTGCGTTCTCCGAATTCTACTAGTAGCTCTCCTCTGGCGTTTCTAGTACCGATGCCATAATCTCCTACTGTCTGGTCTCCAGTCTGCTTCTTTCCTACCTTTGCATTAGTCTCCCATCAGTATAGTATATTGTGTTTTTACCTTACTCATTGATGATTTCATGTCTTCATAGAAGCTTTCAACTAAAGAGTCATCATGGCTGGATGTAAGCGCATAAGCCCGTACCACCTTCAGTTTTTTCAGTTCAGTTTAATTACGATATCTACCACCCTTCATTAATGCTATAGTATTTCTCTATGTTGCCAGCTATTTTTCTGTGAGTTAGGAACCCCACTCCCAGTTCTCTTCTGTCAGCCAAGCCCCGATAGCAAAGGACGTGCCCATTCTGTAGCACCTCATAAGCTTCATCTGTCCTCCTAACCTCACTGAGCCCTATTATATCCCATTTGACACCCTCTAGCTCCTCGAATAGTACAGCTAGACTTCCCTCACTAGATAAGGTTCTAGCGTTAAGCGTTGCCAAGTTCAGGTTCCAATGGCGGCCATTTAAGGTGCTTAGTAAGTGTGAAAACGTAAAAAAGAACATGCAGGTGGCAATGTCCCCTTGAAGTTCCGGCACCCATTGCCATAATGTCTTAGATTTTGACGGCGCCTACCAGGACCTATATCGTTCCATATCAGTAAAAATGCATATTGACCTCTAAAGGGGCGATAGACCAACAAACCTAAATTCCAGGAAATTTCATTGGGCCAATATTGCCGGTATACAGATAATGCACTTTGAAATTCGTGACATCGCGGGAAAAGATTTTCACACGAGATTTAAAAATCGGCAAAACCACAGCCACAGTCGTCGGCGGATTGCGCATGAGTCTGACGAAGAGCTGCTCTTTTACCCCACGGATTAAATGCCGCACCTTCTTTTCCTCGGACATTTTAGGGTCGGCACGCTTGAAGATTCGAAGCATGTCCTCTACAAACATCGAAACTCTCTCGTTAGGTCGTTGGTTCCCAGACGAGATGCCTGCTTCGCTCTCTCCTTCCTTTCGGCGCTGCGGTACGCATCGCGAAACTGTCGGCTGAACTCTTGCCACGTCGCTAAGGGAACCCTCGTGATTCTCATACCACGTTTCGGCAGAGTCTTCCAGCGCAAAGTAAACTCTCCGCAGCTTGCAAGCTTCATCCCATTCGTTGAAGCTGGCAACTCGATTGAAATGGTCAAGCCAGTCATCAACATGGTCGTAAATGTCTCAATGAAATGAGCGTGGTGTTTGGGGCGCATGAAAAACATGCTGGGGAAAAGAATAGGCGTCGTTGGTTTGACTCGCCTGGTTGGTAGTCGAGGTTGCCATCTCGTCTTGAGAGAGAGGACGGTATTCGGGGGATAGTCCTCGCAGGCGGCGACTGCTTCTTACCATGGTAGCTGTAGCGGTCTCCAAGTAGCTCGATGTGTCGGCTGAAAATCTGTAGCCGAGGCGTATTTACCCAGCATGTCCACCAGTGCCACGAACAAAATAACAGAGACAGCCACGAATCGATGTCTTGCTCACACCCAGACTAGGAAGCAATGGTCTCTTCTTTTTCCACTTCCAAGCGATTTCACGCTACAGTTCATGGCTCATACCCATTTACCTGTGGCACTATCGTATAGGACTATGCTTAGAAATGTTCTCCAACTTTTTTTTTCTGGATTATCGCTTCAAAGTATTAAAATTATGCTAAAAATATTCAAACTTTCACTTCATTCTTAGAATTCGTTTCGCACCCTATATTTTGCTATTTGCACAGCTCTAGTTCTAGGCCTTAGTTCTAATCATTGATATTTCATAGATGATGCATGTGTGCCCACACGAATTTATTCTAATAGTTATCTCACATTCACAATTTGTGTCAGTGCTCATTTTACTGCCTGGTGTCATGAATTTCTGACAAACCGAAAAACTGTGAGCAAGGAAGACATGAAATGTGTGCTGCCTTTAATGTCTGCAGTCAAGTACTCACGGGCAACGTAGCTTTCAACATGAAAAATTTAGCACGGTCTCGGTCATTTTACTGCTAGAACTAATTGTTTTGTAGCTGTGAAGATCAACAGCACGAAGTGCGTGCTCTCACTTTTTTCTTCTTTGTAGCCTGGGTAACAGTTCTATTTTCAATAACATTGCTTTATTGGTGCGTACACACCCAAGAGGTAGCACATGACATGTTAAGATATTTTAAAGTACATTTTTTTCTTCAAGGTCCCTGCTTCTGTGGCATATGGAGAATTTGCGATATAGATAAAAGTATGCAATAAAGTTGCATTTTATATTCCTGCAGAATTATTTAAAGGTCGCCATTCAAAGCTGGAAAATGTAAACAATTTTTACTTTGCTCATCAGTTTCATTATTTAAGCATGAAAGGGTTAAATGTCTTGAACCTCATTCGCTACAGATCTGCCTGCAGTTGTGGCGCCTGCTCAAGCGTCAGCTCCGGCCAACATGAACACATTCGGGGGAGGAGAGGCACTTGCCCTGGGTCTGATGCAGTTGCAGCTCAACCCTGGCTGCCAGGAGCAGGGCACAGTGGTCGTGGTCAAGTCACCATCAGAGTTCTACTGCCAGCTGAGCAAGAACGATGACCAGCTCAACGGCGTGGCCGAGATGTTAGGCAGCGTTACTGACATGCAGCCGAGCCTTCCACCAGCCATGCGCAAGGCAAGTTGCCCTTGCACTATTTTAGGCAACCAGATAATGTCATACTTCCAGAGAGACACTACACTTCCGTAAAATCCGGCAGCAGATAAAAAAAATTGCCACTGTTTTCTCTTGCAAAGACCTACGTGAATTTCTTCTGTTCTCTGTAGCCTCGGGGCATGTTTGTTTTTTGCTACAGACTTGCAGTGTGCCTGTTGCTGGAAATGTCGCTGTCATCTGCTGACAAACGCTGTCAAAAAGTGTGCTAGAACCTTGCACAGCATGTTGCCCCTTTTTTTCGTATTTTTTATTTCCTGCGTCAGAGTGGTCGCTCAACTCCACCAGGCATTGCCAGTTAAAATGCCTGCCTCCGTTGGTGCATGTTGTTTTGGTGACAATCATTTGATCATTTGCGGATGCCTGTTTAGCTGAAGTTTCATCTTGTAAATATTTCTGGCTTGTTCCTCTTAATCGTAAAATAAAAACAAACAAAAAAGGCTGACGAACAGAGACAAACAAGCACCTGTTTTCTCTCCCCTCTTTTTTCTTCTTTTAAGTCATCTTGTAACCAATTAGGCCGTTACAACGTGCTTGCCTTTGTGGGACTACAGAGCCTATTTTTTGCCCAAAGTAAATGAAATGCAGCTTCGCAGTGCTCGGGGTCGCTTTGGGCGGGCAAACCACATTGGCTATTCTTTTCGGCTCTTACCGATTGGACAGAGCCAGCAGTGATGATTGGCACCACTGGCCCAACTTTTTACTTTACTGTCACCACTCTACCAGCTATATAATACAGTTAAACCTGCTTATACGAACCTCCATATAATGAATTCCTTGATTTAACAAAGCTTTTCTATTCCCCGCCCTTGCTCCACAGAAGCACGTGTATTTGCAACCTCTGTGTAAGAAAGTAACAGTGGGAGACAACCTTGGCATAACGAATTTTCCTTACAAACAATCTAGGAACTTTACTGCGCATTTTGGTACGAGCGTGCACGTTCTGCGACTTCCCTGCTGCCGACAAAGCACTAAGCGGCGGCGGCACGCACGGCGCACTAGGCGAGAGCGATCGTTCGTTATTGGGCGCGGGTGGGTGAGCACGTGGCGGGCCTCCCCCCCCCTTCCAAACCAAAATAAAAAAAGGAAACTACTTTTGCACGTTGTCAGTGCCACACCTTTAGTCAGCGTCACATATGCGGGGCCGTGCTGCACATGGAGCGCGCTTTACCGAATAGTTCTCCGCATTGTCAGTGTCGTTCGCTCTTCGTTTTTCCATGCCGTGCGCTCGTGCGGCCCCCGACGGCATTCAGGTTTGCTTTTTATTTTTATTATTGCGATAGCGATTATATGGTTATATGGACAGTCTCTGCTAGTTTTTTGCTGCCGCCTTTTACATCTATATCAAAACTCAAGAAAAAAGAAAAAAGCCACCCGCGCATGGCACCCAATTTGTCACAATGCGCTGACTGACCCGCCCTTATCTCTCACCCGTGCCCTGCGAATTGTGGGGGGGGGGGGGGGGGGGAATTGCACGCCTTCGACTTTGACCAAAAATTGTTTAGTTTCCGGGCGCACAAAGGTCACTTCACTCGCAGGACAGGCGAAAAGAGTGCACTTTTCAAACACAGCCAAGTAACAACTGGGGCGTTTGGTAGTTCACACCCATATTTGTACCTGTGATTACGTTTCATGCCTAGTTTTTGTTTAGCCCCGCCGCAGTGGTCTAGTGGCTAAGGTACTCGGCTGCTGACCTGCAGGTTGCGGGAAGAATTTCGGCTGCGGCAGCTGCATTTCCAATTGAGGTGGAAGTGTTGTAGGCCCGTGTGCTCAGATTTGGGTGCACGTTAAAGAACCCCAGGTGGTCAAAATTTCCGTAGCCCTCCACTACGGCATCCCTCATAATCAAATGGTGGTATTTGGACGTTAAACCCCACATATCAATCAATCATTTTTGTTTAAACAGCGCCTTAAGTGTTGAGCGGTAAACATTGTTTGTTCGCTCTCGTCCTATGTGTGTTCTCGGCATTAATTCCAAGTTGTTGCTGTCACATTGCTTCGCCCTTGCGGCGAAACTGTGACTTTTGTCAATTTCGGACAACCGTGTCGCCTTCCCCGAAGGCATGTCTGATTAGGCGCTGATGGTAAGTCTCCGAGTACACGGTGTTTACGAATATTTGGAGGTCGCCTCATCACTCGCTTCCGTCTTGCGCCGTGACTTCGCAGGCTGGTAAACCTTCGCGATTAGCGGATTAGTTCTGGCGACAACACGACAGCACGTTGAATGGAATGCATTGAACGCGATAGGAAAAAATTGTAATGTTATGAGAAGTAAGGCTGGCAGCCAACTCTTCTGGATCCGATATCGCAGAACTCCTACAAAACGCTAGTGTGGGCAAATACGGCCGCTTCAGAGAGAAGTGCTCTTTTCACACAGTCCCTTCGGGTTGCAACCACACTGATACTCACCGAGATAGCAACTGCGCCAGCCATCGCAGCCTCCCTTAAAATCGAAGTTCAATATGACTACACGAGCTACTCCCCTAGCTCCTTCCCACCTTGTTTCATGCTCGTTCAAGACGAGTGGTTTACTTTCTGTGTGAACATTCGACAGCAGTTCTAACACGCGAGAGATGTTATCTTATGCACTTTCCTGGCTATGGGGATGGGCCGACTCATTTGATCTCTGCTTCAGCAGCTCAGGCGCTTTTACCAGCTTGTGAAAGTTGCAATGCGCGGGGGCATGTTATCAATTTGTACTTGTTGCCAAACATGGTGGCAACGGCGAAAACCCATCAGGAGCGTCCGTGTAATTGCTATCGCAGTAACACTGCAGTTTTTTTTTTTTACTGTAAAATGAATGTTTTGGGTTAGCTCTGCCTTCATTCCCCCTTACATATGTTTTATTTTCCGAATTTTCGTACCGAACCTGCATATAACAAAATCCTCTTTATAGGGAATTTTTTTAAGTTTATCAATTTTGTTATATCCAAGTTTAACTGTATGGCATCACGCAGCGGAACGGGCAGTCCACTTATTGAACTCTTACAGAAAAGCATCGTACGTGTAGGGCTGCTGGATACTCTTTATCGTAGAGTGGACATTTTCACAGATGTGTTTGGTGAACGTTGTCGTGTCAGTTGTAGTGGTTGAGTCTGCCATTATAACATTTGAGTTAAATCTAACGCTAGCCAAAGAGTTCTGGGACAAAATGAAAGTGGTGCATTTTTATTTGTTTTTCAGGGCTGCAGCAACATCATATGGAAGTCCAAATGATTAATAGTAAATATTTCAGTTGTCACCATCATACTTGTGCTCACTATTTTTATGGTACACATAAAATTGCGAAAAAATGGAATTTTCGAAAGTGCTATTTTCGGAATCTACCCGCATTATTGTCTTTATCCGAAAAGTGTCATATTTAAAATGCATCTATTTCAACCGTAACATAAATTTTTTGCATCAATTAACGTAGATGTAGAACCGAAAATCGCGCAACTTCAAAAATGCACAGCTTTTTTGCCACAGCCTCTCGTGCCACTACTTTGGTTTCATTTGAAAGAGCAGGCAATTATCTTTAATTTTCGCGTGCTAGCGCCTTCCCCCATCCACTTGTGTCAATAGAAAAACAGCGTGAAAAAGTTGTAAAACGACTATACCTATTGGTTGTTCCAGACACGTGACAAAAGCTAGCTGCGTAATTGGCTCAGAGCACCAACTGCAAGTGCGAGTGCGTCGTTGAGGCGGCTGCCATTTTCTCCTGTCGCCCGCATTGCAACAACGATGCCGTCGAAAAACTTTGCGCGCAACCATATGTAGGGCAAAAAGAGAAAAAAGTCGTTTATATTGAACATCAGAAAAGTCTCGGAACGATCGAGTGTCGTTGAGGATGATGTGGACGTCAAAGATGAGCGACCGCAGGCATCGTACGACGGAGCTGAGGAGCGCCTTACAGAAGTGGGCCTAACGTGCCCTACAACGAGTGCCCGCGACTGCTACCTCGACGTTGGCCGCGTTCATCGTGACCCTGTTATCTTGGCATCTGGAGATAAAAATCGGCGTGAAAACAGGGCCGAAAAAAAAAGTTAACGAGCTAGCGTCGACTGCTGCAATGCAACGAAAGGCGGACTTGCTGGCTGCAAGCGACTCCGGTGCCTGCCCGCTTGACGAGACCTGTTTCACCGTGGTGTGCTTGGACTTAGTAAACACGCTTCTCCAGCTCATGAAATGCAAAGTATGTTGTGGAGACAGCAAACTTTACCAGGAAACAGGTGAAACTGGTGCTTCATTGCAGCAACTGCGGTGATAAAGCCACGGCGTGGAGCTCACCGCGTATGGACGAGGACAAGAAAGTGAATTCGTTTGCCATAAACATTCTGGCTGTGCTCGCTATGCAAACTACTGGCAACAGACAAACGGCGCTGAATGATACTTTCACCGCTATGAATATCTCTCACTGTGGACTCCACACGAAAATGTGGCCGGCCTACCAGAAGACGAAGTTGATGCCGGCCGCAATGCGCGCAGTTGAGACGCAAGAAAAAGAGAGCAAGGAGGTGGTTTAGAAATTGCACAGCGAGCTAGATGTGGATAATCCTGCCAATATTGCCGTGTCCTTCGTCGGGTCATGGTTGACCTGCGGACATACGTCCCACATTTCAATTGGCGCTTTCATTGAGCTATTCTCTGGGCTTGTCTTAGACCATGGTGTACTGAGCAACTTCTGCGCTGGTTGCGAACGCGGACCTAAACCAGACGACCCTGACTATGCAGAGTGGAAGGCAACTCACAAGTGCCAAAAAAACTCTCACAAGAAGTCAGGTGAAATGGAAGTTCAGGCTGGCCTTGTGCTATTCAAAAAATCTTGGGAGAGGCACATACTAAGATACACAACTGTTTTGTCGGATGGCGACAGCAGGACGTTTTGCGCCTTGAAGGAGGTGGAAGTGTACGGATACATTGACATCCAAAAGGAGGAGTGTGTCAACCACATGCAAAAGTGTATAGGGACAGCCAGAGGGGTGTGATGCCAGACCTCTAGGTGGAAAGGGGAGGTTGACGGGGGACCGTGTAAACAAACTCAGCTCTTACTATGGCTGGTCAAGTCTCATAGTAACGACATTGAGGCAATGGAAAAGGCTGCAATGGCAATTTATTATTACGTAACATCCAATGATAGTCAATCGAATCACAGCCTTTGTCCTACTGGTACAGATTCCTGGTGCCGGCAAAATGCCGCGAAAGCTAAGGGAGAGCCAGCACCAGGACATCGTTACAACCTCCCTGATAATGTGTCAAACGCTTTGCTTCCCATATATCAGCCCTTATTTGAGAGGAAGCTTCTGGAGCGGTGTGTGCATGGCAAAACACAAAACTGCAATGAGAGACTGCACTCACTAGTGTGGTCACTCGCCCCAAAAGAGCAGCACGCATCTCTCTTCAGCATTGAGGCAGCTATGGCTGAAGCTGTCATGATGTTCAATGCAGGCAGTGAAAGAACTTAAGCAGGAATTTTGCACGAACTATGCTGAACCCTGGTCATCGAAGCGTGAAATGCATGCAAAAAAAAAAACAGTGGCGATCAGTTTCATCTGCTAACAAATGTGCATCTGCATAGAATGTGCAGCGAACATTGCAGAAACGGCATAAAGGTGGTGGGGGTCAAAGTGACTACGCCCCTGGAGCATATTAGTAACTTGGAAGTGGAATTCGGCATTTGTTTGTATTCTTGTGTTTAGATAAAGTGTGTGTTTTTTTTTCTCATTTTTTTCAAAATGCAAATAAATGGTTTTCGCAGCACCAATTCTGTAATATCTCAGCTCCAGGTGCAGATATGATAATTATTTTTGTACCACTTAGCTGAATGAGCTTAGCACGCAATGTTGCAAGCAGAGTTTTAAATTTCATTTGCACTAATTTTTTATATGGAGCAATTCCTGACAAGGTCATTGCCTTGCACTGTGGGCTCATGTTCAATAGCCTTTAATTTTGGACCCAGTTCCATGATTCAGAATCTGCTTGCTACATTGTCTTCCTTATGGTTTAGAGAGTCAAACATGCTAGCCAAAAAATTTTATTAAGTGGTTACTTTTTATTTGTAATAGTACACAATTGCAATAAATTTTTAATTATCTCAGCAACTAATTAGGCTAGAGGAAAACTCATTGCATTTTTAGAATCTACTTAAAAACCTTACGGAGCACAATTTGCCGTGTCCTGCAACGGCCACAGGCCCTTTCTCAATTTTTTAATATGCTCTTCTGTGCGACATCGTTGCACTGCGGCAAAAGTGTCTTACTAAGCAATAATATAATCTCTCTTTATTTATTTCGTTATTTTTCCAGGTCTAATCAGCATTAGATTTAGTGCAGTTATCAATGCTATAACATTACGCAGCTCGTTTCACAAAAATTCTGGTGTTGGCATGGTAGGTTTTGTTCTTGTGAGCAAAAAGCCCTCCATGAGCAATAATTTGAGATAAGTACAAATAAATAGGAAATGTTTGGCCTGAGTGAGAATCAAACACAGGCCTTCTGCGTGGCAAACAAGTGTTTAGTGCGAAGCCACGCCTGTGCGTTCAACATCGTCACTAAAAAAAAAAAAAGTTTCAATGTTATGTAGGGAATGGTGTCTGTAATGCATGTAATAATGCGAGGCAGAACTGTGGAATCGCACCAATGAGCGAATTTTTTCAAGGGGTACTGACCTTTTTTTGAAAAGGGGTTTACTTTGCCATACATATCTGTGCACAGAGACTGCTCTGAGCAAGTGTGAAGTTCGACAAATACTGGTAAGGTAGTCTGTTTTGATATTGAGCTTCATTGATTTACCAAGTCGCGAACCACTCGCCGACGGCCTGTAGATGCCTCAGCTCATAGGCGGCTACGTCACATGCACGTAATCCAAAAGTCCCGAGCGGCTCGGGCCGTCTGCGCGCTTGATGCTGTCTGCGTCCGTTGTGGTGTCTGCCATTCCGTCTGCTCCCTCCATGGCTGTGACACGGGCCACAGCGCCAACCCAATTCCAACCTCAACAGCAGTTAGGTAATGAATTATACCTATTTTCGTCGTGATACAACTTACTGGAAGTGAACTACTCAAGCATACATGCATCGTAGATCCACGTGGTTGTTCCACCGCTGTTTCTCTTAGCAAGTGCAACGTGCCTTTGCCCGACCTTCGGGAATACACATATGCTCGACGTGGCTCAGAACACGGATGGCAAGAACTGGGTGCGCAAACAATGCAAAATCCAGGAACATGCGAGGAGCGGACAGAAAAGCGAAAAGAGAGCAAGAGCGCATCGAAAATTTGTCGTGTCCAACTTAAGATGGCCGCACAGGCATGTGGACCGCGCTGTTGTCTGTCAGTTGCCCGAAAGAAATCGTTCGGACGGTCCCTGGCCACCCACACACCACCAGACACGTGAAAAACAAACATGCGTCCGAACGATCTGAGACCAGTGGGCGGAGCTTCCGTTTGGTCCTCTGGAAAAACAAATGCGGCGCCGTCCGGGACGTGTAAATCGATAAAGCTCATTAAAGCAAGTTTTTTTATGGTGCACCCAGCGACATCGACACTAGCTTGGCATCGAGCTTGGCGTCGAGTTGTGATGATGTCGGGTTCACAAAACTTCCAAGTAGGCCGCTTGTGCATCGCAAAAACATTCACAATGGCCATAGGTTGCCTCGCCAATGGAGCCACTGTGCAGAGTGGTCGTGGAAACATTACTATATCTTGAGCGAGCATATGACAGGAAGCTCATATAGTGTTGTGACGTCAGGGTGCAGCAGGCACCAAAACTAGCTTTTAAAATATACTCCAATTACTTTTTCAAAGTGCACTCATGCTTAGCGCTAAATTTTCTAGGCTCTTGGGGCCTTCGCCTTTATTTTGGTACTGTAGCAGACAGTGTGCTTGGCATCCGGGTAAAAGAGGGAGTGGTAGAGAAGCTAGGACATTCCGCTTGAATCACTAATTTCTGGGAACAGAAGGCTCAAAACAAATCATTTGTTGGCTGACTAAGCTGAAGTCACAGCCACGGTGTCTAAGCTTCTCTGTTTCTTCTTCTTTACGTGGACGCCGAGCACACTGTCCACTGCAGTGCAAAAAAAAAAAGTAACCAAAATTTTTTTGTGACAGTTCCCCTTTAATGGTTGGGGTAAACCGCCCAATCATTAAAGGGGCATTGTCAGTTGCCCACCCCTTCCAAAGTGTGTCACTTTAGGAATGAGTAGTGGGTACTTCGCCCATATTTAAATTTGAGGATGATGATGTAGCGGGCACATAGCAACTGTTGCATTCAGTAGACATTCTAGAATAGTTCGTAAGGGCCACTGTTGGCGCACAAGCGTTCCTTTTCTGGTGACATGGTTGAAAGTGATGCGCATAGGGTCCGGTTATGCCATTTTGTTCTACTCTTGAAGGCAAAGCTGATTCGCAGCACAGACAACCACAAAGTGCGCACTAACCGAAGTTACGCAATGAAGCAGCTCAATTGGAAGTGTTTAAAAGTACATTGAAAGTATACTGTGCCAATCAACATTTTAACACGAAGTGAATTATCACGACTCAAATGCGTTCCTCTGGCAGTGCACTGCTCATTGGGACACTGAATTATTTGTTTAAAGACTAGATGTTTTTAGCAGCAAGGCTGATGATGGTCAAGGTTCTTTTAGGACAATCTGCGCAATCCCATTTTTGGGTCCTTGCAGGTATTTGCACTGAAACATGGGTAAATGCCACTCCAGTACACTGAAGATGAAGAAGCTGTTTGTAACTAGCCTAGTGAGTACAGTGGAACCGCCGATTATACGACTTTCAGGGGACCACGCAAAACCGTCGTAGAATCCGGACGTCGTACAATCGAAAAACGCCAGGCCTGCGCGGTAGGTGCAGCGCAGTCACAGCAAAAGCTAGAAGAGCGGCCTTTCAGAGCCTTTTCAAAACACTCATTGGGTAACTACTCAAGCACACTTGCTTAGGTACCCACTAGGGCATTAATAATAAATTTTTGCGTAGTAGGCCGGCATTCGCTATGCTATTTTTGTAATTCTTCTGATCATCGGTGTAGCTTCGGTGTAGCTCAGTGGTAGAATACTGTGCACCCAGCAAACCTGGGTTTGAGCTGCACTGTGCCACTGGTGCAAGGTTTTTTTTTTTTTTCTAATTTCATGCAATGTGGTTACGGACACCGGCGGTGGTGGACGACATGCAAGTGCGCGTGACCCGAAAAGTGATCTCATAACAGCTTTCGCTGTAAAAACTAAGAATATAGCAATTACACTCAGTCTTGCCCCAAAAAATGGGTATTGTTATGCCACAGACATAGTCCTCAAGGTTTTTAATACATTATTTAAGACATTTAATACATTAAACCAAGGTTTTTAATACATTATTCCTAAGGGAATTTTGCCGGGACCTAACAGATTCATTGTAAAATGTGGGTCTTCGCGAAACCAGGGACGTTTAATCGAAGTTCCACTGTATGTGCCACAGAAAATTGGGCATGACCTACTGCTCACCTTCAATGAAATCTAAGAAGCTGTCTACAACTGGCTTAGCGGGCACGTAAAATTGTTTTTGAGTTGTAGTTATATCAGAACATTATAAAGTGGCAGTTATTTTTCTTTTTCCTATAGAATCCTAACTTTTCCCATCTTGTATGTTAGGTGGGAAGTGCCTGCTGCGCCCTTTATTCTGAAGACGGCGGCTGGTATCGAGGCATCATTCGAGAGCTGCATCCGGGTGGTGCTGCCGTGTTTTTTGTCGACTATGGCAACGTTGAAAGCGTGGCAAACGAGGGCCTCAAGCTACTGCCGGACGCCCTGATGTCCGTCCCGTGCCAGGCAGTGGGATGCAAGCTCAATGCAGCTGTGGTTGTGGATGCCACTGCAGCGACAGCCAGGCTGGACGAAATTCTAGCTGACCAGGTGCGTCTCTTGTGTCTGGTAAAAGGTTCGCAACCCTGCTGGTGGTTGTATGACGTTTGAAAAGTGTAGCATGAATACTGCACCAAGTGAACAACACTCCCACAGAATGCCTCATCTCCTTCAGGAGGCGGTGGCTGTGTTTGCGTATGCGACTCGGTCATGCTAGTTGTGAGACCTTGTCGACAAAGAAAGAGCTAGATACATTGCTGAGTGGATGAATTGAACCCTGCACTCGTCATGAACATTGCAGGTGGATGTGTCGAACCTAACCGTCAGACCCGTGGCGACTGGTAGGTTCAGCTTATCAGCATTTTGGACTTCCTGACGAAGACCATCATGGTGCCGCTTTTAATACTCGCGATCGAAAACGTTTTTGAAACGTTGGGCATCGCGGTCAAGTCTACTATGCGGACCCCGCAGGGGCGCCTGCGCAAGTAGGCGTTTGGTGTGTAGCGACACCACGGACCCGAGCTAACGGGGGAGTTTCGGCTCCCTCCCACGCTTAGCCGTGCGTGGCTTTGCCGTGTCCGGGGAAAAGGGGATCCTGGGGGTTGAGCTGACGCTGGGTGATTGGACCTTTAAGGCCCCCCGGCAGAGGCAACACACCCCTTTGGCCCCGGCTTCACGTAGACGGCACCCCTGGGCTGACCCACCCAGGGGAAATCGGCAGTCGCCGTTTCCTATCTCTCTCTTCCTACATCTTCGTCATTTTCTCTCACTTTTTATCTGTCCTGTCATCTTCTCTTTTCCGTTTACTTCCGAATTTCCTGGCGGCGAGGGTTAACCCTGTGTAGTTACCCAACCTTGGGTAGTTATATTCGGTTATAGCGGCGATGCATGGCTGGCGTCTCCAAGTGTTCACTATTCAACCTTGTAGCGTCCCCTTGTTGGGCTCGGTGGTGGGTGGCCACCATCACCGCCGAATTTTAAATGCTTCTTATGGAAAACCCTTTTCCTGCACTCCCTGATCGCCGCCTGAAAAGGTGGCGCACCGATGACAGCTTCTTTACTGCACAGCCTAAACAGACCTTTCCCAAGTATCATGTAATCCACAGCCAAAATGAAAAGAAAACAGTTCGATCTATCTCACCATTTATTGTCTCGAAAACGCTCACAGATGCAATTGGCCCTGGCTATAAAGTAACTAAGATGGGGAATGGTGATCTCCTTCTAGAAGTTCGCGACAAGACTCAGTACGATAAGCTCACAAAACTCGTTTCATTTGATAACATCCCAATATCAGTGGGCCCACATAGGTCGATGAACACAGTGCGTGGTGTCATATCTGATGATGACCTCCTCGAGCTTTCTGAAAGTGAATTGCTCGAAGGCTGGCAAGAACAAAATGTAGTGAAAGTACAGAGAATAATAATCAGGCAAGATAATAAACAGATCCCAACAAAGCACATCATAGTTACCTTCGGTACAAGCAACCTTCCCGACTCTATTGAAACTGGTTACTGCAAGCTTCCTGTCAGACCTTATATACCGAATCCTCGCCGATGTTTCAAGTGCCAGCGCTTCGGACACGGATCCCAAACGTGCAGAGGGCGCGCTAGGTGTGCGAAGTGCGCATCTTGTGAACATGTATCCGAAAACTGCACTTCAGAAGCCTGTTGCGCTAACTGTGAAGGAGATCACGCTGCCTACTCCCGATCATGCCCTGCATGGAAAACAGAGAAACAAATATTAGAACTTAAGGTAAAGTTCAACCTGTCATTTCAAGAGGCACGTCAACGTTTTTGTACACACAATAATTCTGAACCTTCCTTCGCCGACGTGGCACGTCGAGGCGCCGTGCCACGTTTTTCGGCACCCGCGAGATTCACACGAAGTGTGACTGCGGTTGTGCCAGAAGCGCCTCCGGCTGGAGCAGTCTGTACTGCTCCGCCTCCTGTTCAAAAAGGCCAGCAGACTACAGAGTCTGCTGGACCCCGGACCACTGCAAGTGCAGTCAGGTCCGAAACTGCCATAAATGTGCCTGCCAAGCAGGCACCATCCACCACCTCAGAAAAGGTGATGGACACAAGCCATACTCCTCCGGCACCCCACACGCCGAAGGAAAGGCGCAGCTCTTTGGAGCGAAGCAAAAAAGAGAAAACCCGTATTACAGGGCCCCAACAGGCCCTGTAACTTAAGGCAACGTTTCTGTACACACAGCACTTAACTACATTAAAAATGGAGACACAAATTTTACAGTGGAACGTCAGAGGACTACTGAGAAACCTTGACGATATTCAAGAACTTTTACATAAACAGACACCAAAAGTGCTGTGTGTACAAGAAACACACCTAAAACCCAAGATCACTAATTTTCTACGCCAGTATATCATTTTTCGAAAGGACAGAAATGAAGCTGTCACGTCATCTGGTGGTGTGGCCATTATAGTAAATCAAGGGATTGCATGTACTCATCTACCACTCGAAACATCTCTTGAAGCAGTGGCTATTCGTGTAGTCCTCCTGAACAAACTCGTGACCATCTGCTCTGTCTACATACCTCCACACTACCATCTTGAAAAACGCGAATTCCAGTCCCTAATAGATCAGCTTCCAGAACCTTATATCCTCCTTGGAGATTTCAATGCACATAGCAATCTATGGGGCGACTCTCGCTGTGATGCTCGAGGTCGCCTGATTGAACAGCTCCTTTTTTCTTCCGGTGCGTGCCTGCTGAGTCGGAAAGAGCCAACATATTACAACATCGCTAACAATACGTACTCAGCAATAGACCTCAGCATAATATCCCCATCACTCCTGCCTCTACTTAAATGGGAAGTCATTAATGATCCATATGGTAGTGACCATTTTCCTATCGTTATCAGCACATCAATAACAAATACATGTCCTGCACAAGTTCCCAAATGGCTCACCGACAAAGCTGATTGGGGAAAGTTTCAAAAAATGACTTTATTATCTTGGACTGACATGGCGGCATTGAGCATAGAGGATGCTGTATGCTACTTTACAGCTTTCTTGGTTGATGCAGCTGTCACACCGGTCCCGATAATTAGGGAGGCGATCGCCGGGCTAATTCCAAGGGCCAAAGTATCGGCCCCCCGAACCGCACCACGAAAGCGTGGACAATTTAGAAGTGGTCCTTTTTGGCGCGCCAGCGGACGTCGGCTGTGGCCCAAAGAACAAGTCAGAGCCGAGAGTTGATAAACAAACAAAATTATATTCTCAATAATTGCAGATCCAAGACAATACACACGTATGCACACTCCACAATAGTTGAGTACAATATGTCACCAATCAACCAACGTACTACACAGTACAATCAGCCACACTCAAAACAACGGACACAGACAACAATACACACTACAATGCAGTCGCATGCATTTAACATCCAAGACACTTAAAGACTAAAGAGATAGAAAACCTATTCAGTCCAAAGTCCTTGGAACAAAAGTCTGAATGATACTCTTCCGAGAATCACTCACTCAAAGTCCAGCGTTGTTGTCGTTCCGCTGCCCCCTGAAGTTTCTCTTCCAGGAAACCTCGCGTCTTCAATAGGCCACTCTCCAAGCTTCAAACTTCTTCGCCCGAACACGTCGGCTTCACACACGCAGCTGTCGCCACGCGTCTTCGCTCGATAGCGGTAAACAGACTCTCTTGCCTGTAGCTCGAGCCTTCACCCCTCAGGTGGAAATCCTCTTCATCTCCTGCTTCGTCCCTACGGACAAAACCTTCGCCGACTACACGGCGGAATCCCTACGCACTCTGGCGCAATCTTCCGTCTTCTCCTGCTCTCTCGTCTCGGCCGCTCGATTAAATACCTTCCGCGCCACATTCCAGAAAGTTCTCGTCATTTCGTCGGCAAGAATTTGGCGGCGCGCCCATTTTTAGCGCTCGTTCTGTGACACTGCCCCCCACTTTAAGAATATTATCTCATAATATTCAAAACCACACACACGAGCGCGAACAGTCACCACACACTCTGAAAGGCTGTAACACAAACCGTCGCTCATGACGCTTCACACTCGGAATAGTTCCTCAATACAACTGTACATTGTAATTCAATTCCACGACACATGAAATATAGCCACAGGTACATGACTACAACACTTCATCACACATTCCAAACAATACAAATGTACAAAGTTCTCTCATTACAACAATTATACAACACTATACATCACATCACAGCACAGACACTTCGACACTTGTGACACAGGATAACACAACATCAACACAACATATGGCACTCAACACTGCCAAACACATTCGGATTCGACTTCACCACTTATCCTGTGTACTTTGAGCGGCGCTTGCGCCCTTTCTTGCGGTGCTCGCTCGATCTCTTCTTATTTTTCCTTGTTTTTTTTCGGCGAGCTTTTTCCAACGACGGTATCTGAGGCAGCGTCTCAGCCATCGTTGTCACTTCCGACACCGTTAACGGGTCATAACATTCAACGGGTCCTGTCTGTTTATTTACCAGCATGATCATGTCTCTACATTTTTCCCGGCTGGCCAACTCCGTCTCCTTTACACTGTCGGTCGGTTGAGGTCGTGCCGACGTAAGTCCAGTTGCTCGACCCGTGAACTCATTCAACACGATCATCTTATCATTCATAGTCCCTTGCACCGCGGCTTCACCTTGGGCTCGAGTCGGATCCGTCACGGGTTGCTCCTCCACTGTATCTCGCGGTCGTTGGGTTGGCGAGGGCTCTATCTTAAGGTCTTCTCCCAAACATTCCGGATCATTCGGTCCTCGCACCCCGTCGATGTTTCCGATGACAAGGTCGTAAAGGGGGGTCGTCATACATAGAGCCGTAACCTTCCCGCTGAAGTATGGGGTTTCAACCTCAATCTCTGCTTCGGGAAGCATCCGAACTGTACGGTCAATTAAGCAAACCGGTTTCGTTCTGCCGGTTAACTCACTTTCCCGTACCAAGTTTCTCCGCACGATAACAGTGGAGCTGCCGGTATCTCTTAACACCGTAATCTTTTTGCCCGCAACTTTTCCAGGCAGCGTTGGCATTCCTTTCGCAACACCG